ATGCCTTGCTTCGCTATTTTAATGCAATTAGGCCAAAACAAATGAGGCAAAAGCAGAAACAACAAATTCTGATAAGTTGATTCGAGCGTGCAGAACGGAAAAGTTAAAATAATTCCTCAGCAGAAACAAGAAGCGATAAGAAGTGTAGGAAAAATAAAGAAGTACAATATAAATTAGGTTATCGGTGGTTGGAACTTCCTTGGGGCCAGCAAATTTAAATTCTGCGATACTCCACAGGCTTAACCATTTGAATTTATTTATTTGTATTTCAAGAAACTTTTGCTCGACTGGGAATTTATTGGTGATAAAAAGAAAAAATGTTTATTAGTTTAACAAATCTATTTTAGTTTTCTCTAAAGCAAAGCCATATTTTTCTACAACAGTCTTTTTAGGGGTACTAAAATAGAAATAGTACTTACTATTTATAGGAAGTTATTGAATTTTTTTTTGTGTTTTGAAATAAAAACCTTATGCAGTTTCAATAAATAAGATTTTGCTTATGAGCTGATGTGTTTCTACATGTTACTACAACTTGGCTTCACACCTTCCACAGGCCAAGCCCCTCACACACCTTAATTGCCACCCAACCCCGCCTCCAAACCATTCCAACCCCGCCTCCAAACCATTCCAACCCCTCCTCCAAACTATTCCTACCCCTCCCCCAACCCCCTCCCCCTTTCCCCCCATTTAAATGAACCCAAGAACTCAATGGCCGTCTATGCTTTGCATACCTATCATCTTTTCGCCATGTCCGCCGTTCTTTGTTTTAGCCCCTTTGTTTTGGCGGCTCTTTCGCGGCTATCAGGTCTCAATACTCGTTTGCCCGGTAAGCGCTTTTCTGCGCCAGCTCCTCTTCTCCTCTTCTCTTTTCCGCCTTCGCCTTCGCCCTCGTCTTTTCTTTTCTTTTTTTTTTTTTTTGTTTTGAGGCCGGTTCTTTGGTTTTGGCTTTGTGGCGTTTACTTTGAATTTTTGGGGCCCGGAGAAACCAGTTGATGCATAACCGTTGCGGAACATGTTCGCCGCCGTTCCTCAAGCCAAAGTACGTGTCTTCTACAAGTTTTTAGTTTCTTGAATGGTTAGTTCTCCACAAATAGGGAGAGGTTATATGATCTAGGAGTTATATTTTATAAAGAATCTAAAAGCATATTTTAAATAAACGTGGCTTTAGTGAATCATCACTGTGCAGATTCGTAAATAACTAATACATAGTTATAATTATACATAGTTAAATAATATACCCCTCTTTCCTAATGAATTCTTCTGATGTGTTTGTGCCAAAAAATAATGACAAGTGGTTTAAAGGCCGTCGTCCCATCAGAAGGACGGTCTAATATCACAGTCTCACCTTCAGAAGAAGCGATGGCCCCGCCAGATTTGTGGCGAATCGGTTTAATGCTGCTGCCAGTCAATTATAATGTGCTCTATATTAATTATTAAAAATAGACAGCCACTAATAACAGCGTGCTATCTTATCTGCATCGCAGAGAAAACGAAAACAAATTGCAAATCTTGTCGAGCAAATACTTCTGGCCAACTGAATTCGAGCCTTGTGTCGTGACTGGGTTACAGAGGGAAACACCCTCGGGAATTGTTTTCTTCCCTGCCGGATTGTTTTACGACTGCCGACTAAACAAGAGGTCGTAAACGTTAATTGCTCGTATATGGCGACTATATAAATCTTATCCTCTGCGCTACCGAATTCAAGATCTACTTGTATAGTAGTATAGTAGGTAGTACTTATGTTCCAAAAGCCCGAAGATTTGATAACTCGGTTGGGGATACTCCCCAGCAAAGAAATTGAAGTATGCGCTGCCAGTTATAAATAACTTGAAACCAAAATAGAATCCAGGCCTTTATCAGAAAGGTTTTTATTTATAATCTATGAAATTTATTTACATTTCGCCTACAAAACTCGAATTGAAGGTTAATAAATTCGAATTAAGGTTCTTGGTTCCTAGAAAAATAGGGTGTGGGGTTTTTCACTGCCACTTTTATGGCAAAACTGTTTACAAATTTGACACACTTTTCAGATAAACAGTTGCACGAAAAGATTGCATCTCGAAATGAGAGAACTCAACGTGAGCAATTTGTCACTGCTTTCATTATTATTATTATATTTTATTTAACTGATCTCCAGAGGCAAAACTCGAATTAGTCCCTCTCTCCGCGGATATAGTATATAAATATCTGTCTCTCTCTCTTTTTGGCCGAGCAAACTCACGACTTGAGCAGCGTTGATTTGAGCGAGCGGCAAGCAAATACATTCCGCTGGCGGCCAATAAAAACGGTTGGACTAAACCCGCTGGCAGTTGGCTTTTAAACGCGCTACGCCAAAGTCGGTCAAGTCGGCGGAGATAATCCCCCAGTCCGCAATCCACGATTCACAGCATCTCGCCATACAGAACGTTTCCCTGTGGAGCAACGGACGATAAAGATTGTGGTTCGATCAACAACTGGGAAGAGCACGTGCAACGTGTAAACGTGGCGTATACTTGATATTGCGCATACGCCACCTGCGCCGTCGTGTGTGCTGAAAGTATTGAGATCGATTGATTGAAAGTGACAACGAGCCAGTGCCGAACTAGATGAAGATGTGCGAATTGATTGTCAGTCATGGACTCGACCGCGAGGTAAAAACATCATTAGTGCGGCCACGAACACCTGACTCATGTGATTTCCCAGCTGTTCCACCCGGTTTTTCATTACCTCAAATAAATATATTGGGCTGTTGGCTCTGCGCTCTGCGGGGAGCACGACTGAGCTCGGGTTTCGAAGTAAACCTATAGGCGATACAGCAGCCAGTCGAACTGCCATTGACGCCTGACTTTGGCACTCTCTCTTTTTATTTTTGAGTACCCGTTCCGATCTGCGATTCCCAGCTGATGACCCCCAACGAAGTGCGTTTTATGTTATTCTGCCGCCTGCGAAATTGCGTTCTGCTTTTAATTGTCGGAGGGCAACCGAAAATTGCAGTCACGCTTCAATTACCTCGGACTCTTTTGTGCCATTTGGCTGTCGCGAAAATTGCGCAAACCTGTCTGGCAGCAAAATGAGTTTCCGATCTGTTTCACTGACCCAAATCAGGCCTTGCTGGCACACGAACTCCGATCAGATCGCTCGACCTTCCCTGCAGCTCTACTGTAGTGTATCTGCGGCTATCTGGCTTTATCTCCGACTTTGTATCGGACTAATTGCAGCCGAGGTCGTCTATCGCAGTCGAGATTGCCGGGGAGCTCCTTCCTAATTGGTTTGGAGCCTGCCATAACGACACTCGTGGCGCAATAATGCGATACTCAGGGGTTCTTCAACTCGAGTGCCTCGCCGCAAGCTAATCAATCAGTCCGCCGGAGATCCAGATCCAGATTTAATCGAGTCGAAAACTGCGACTCCGAATTCCAGCTGGCTGCATATTTTCCAAATTACTTTTGTGTGATATAAGAGCGGGAATGGGAATAGTATTTCGCGAGTGGGTTTTGTTTTGGCCTCATCAAGACTTGCTAATGCCCGAATCACGGCCACCAAAAAAAAAAAGGGGGATTCAGACGAGAGTTGCCTTGGCTTCGAGATGAGTTTCGGATGTGAATGATCTCACTTGGAATAAGACACAGGTGATGGTGCCTGGTAACTGATGTGTGGGAGCCGTCTCCTCTCGTTTTGGCCATCTTAAGTGCCAAATGTATGCAAAACTTATGGAACTCCCTGAACTGAACTGAGAGTGAGTTTGTTTTGGCAATTCGTACTCGATCCCTGCGATGCGAAGACAATTAGCACACTCATTGACGTCACTCGCGAAATGTTCACACGCTGTCAATGGCGACATTGTCACACCCTGCGACAATCCACAAAATAATAACATATAATATAATAGGGAAAACAAAGTCCGAAATTAGTCAGAGCACCGAAGTGAATTTCACATGAAGGCGTAGGCTTTCGGCTATCAATAAATAGATGGTAACATAAGCAGCTTACGGCGATCAAAAACTCTGATTTCAGCCAGATTAGATTGTATTGAAATTGAATTCGGTTCACCCAAACACCTCGTTGCTGGAGTGACACTGTTCAGTTCCTTAATGAAAGTTATGACAAACGGTTGTCCATCATGGGACTCCACGAAAAGTTCGCAAAATTTCACTTAACACATAATCCCAAAAGGAGTAACCATCGAAGCTTTGCGGTGAGAATATGGTGACTTGGAAGTGGTTCTGATTTACTTCGCAAATTAAGTGAACAATTTTTAGCTGTGAAATTGAGTATGTGCCTCGAAAGAAATTCTTATATTATAAAAAGGCTCCTTTGCTGTTGTAAAGGATTTTTAAACCTTGAAATGTATAAGTGGCTTTTAACTGGCTTGGTTACTATGTACTTGCGAACATAAATACATATGTACTTAGATAGTTAAGGAGAATGGATCCTATTTGTGTAACAGTAACAAGACTTTCGTTTTATTTCTTTGATTACTTTATTCAAAATATGCGACTGCTCCTTTTAAGTGTCTGACGTTGAATGCTTTTTTATTCTCTTCCTTCTTCTCCTCGTTCAGCCGTTTGAGCGAGCTCGCAATACCTGATCATATACTTATTCTATTCTATGAGGGCGAAAGAGATGGTTATACATCTGTGGTCTTTAACTGTAATTCTTATTCTAATGGTACAGTGGGTATTGTAGGTAAACATCCTACTACATTTGTTTTTTCAGGAAAGGTTGGAACTTTTACAATTTAATGTGCATTTTAGTTTCCGCTTTTCCAAACCTAAAAAACGTTTTTATGTGAAGTGCCAGTAGGATTCGGATACTCAGCTAAAGAAAATTAGAAAAAATTAACCTAAAGCCATTATTGAATACTTTTTACCTTAGTTAACCCTTTATTTTACCTAAATCTGTTCCTATAAATATTCTGAATGGAAAATTCTGAATTCGAAAATGTACTTAAACGAGAGCTGTGAAGAGGTGAAGGAAATGGGACTGGGAACGGAAAGGGGCAGGCGTTGATCCCGCCTTCATCGGGTTTCAGCCGTTCGGTCGGGCAGTAGTCTCATTTCGATGCCAGTTATTGTTTTATTTCGTTCCGTAGGAGTACAGAGCTCCCCAAAGTAAATTTCCCATTTATTCACCCCACCGGGTTTTATTCCGTGTTTTGTCGATACTCTTTCGTAGTTCGGTAGCCCCCAAGAGCGCGAAGAGTGCGACCTCGAAGGTCTTCGTCCTCGACATCGACATCGACATCTTCTCTGCTAGCGGAACACTTGTGCGCGTGCACGTTCACGTCGCGTGATCGGATCGAGCAACGGGAATGAGTGGCCACCAGTGCAGCCTGGGCAAGCTGGCCCAGCGCGGCGCCCGCCTCCAGATCTCGCCGCTGGCCTCCTCGGTGCGCAGCTTCTACCACGGCCACAGCCACAGTCTCCACCAGCTGGGCCAGGTAAGCCAACCTGGCCGAGCGAACCACAACCAGATGAACCAGATGAGCCAGTGGAGCAGCAGCAGTATCGGCGGCAGCAGGGAAGCTGCTTCCCTGGAGCGCAACAGCCGGGTGCGCAACATCGTCGGGGTGAAGAAGACGCCGCTGGTCAGCCAGATGCATAGCCTGGGCCCCGCCAAGGTGCCGCCCTATCGGATCCAGGGCAAGGCGCGCCTATTCTCCTCGTCGAGCAGCCTGTCCGCCGCGCGCTCCCAGCAGCAGCTCCAGCAGCAGCAGGCGATGATGGAGGAGGAGGAGGACGAGGAGGAGGCGGGCGAGTACGGTGCGGAGCGGTCCCACACGACGGCCTCCATGTCGGCCACCCAGAGGCGCTACAACCAGGCCGAGGGCTTCGGCAAGGGGATGGCCATCCAGGCCGCGAAGGACATCAGCCGCTCCATCCAGGAGGAGCTGATGGTGGTGGACGCGGAGACGCGCGACATGCTCAACTGCGACCCGGGTCGCCAGGCTCTGCGCGACTACCACGAGCACGTGAAGGCCCGTCGCCAGCGCGCTCCGGTGGATCCCATGCAGGGATGGAAGCACCCGCGCGCCCTCAAGTCCTTTGCCAGCCAGTCCGCGTCCATTAGCGATAGCGAGAGGGAGAGCGAGCGGGAGAGGGAGAGGGAGTCGGCCACCCAGATGCAGGCGCAGGAGATGCAGGACGAGCGGCACATGCGGCCGCGTCGCCGCCAGATAGTCACGGGCCACGCGAGTCGCGGCAGCATTCCCCTGAAGCAGCCGGAGCTGCACTACCGGTCCAACTACGACCTGTTCTCTCCGAACGCCAGGGAGAAGTTCTCGGACCACCGCAGCGAGCTGCGTCCCCAGACCAGTTGGCACAGCCCCAAGGCGGCGGCGGAGGCGGTGGAGGAGCAGCCGCAGGACCTCCTCATGGACGTTTCCCTGGCCAGGGCAGTGCGGCCGGACATCACGGTGGCCAGGGGCATGCAGAAGCCCGCGGAGGAGCAGGCGAAGGAGTCCGGCGGATCGTACTACCAGCAGCCGAAGGCGGAGCGCGACTTCCTCAGGCAGGCGTTCCTAGGCGCGGCCAGGAGTCGCCGCAAGGCCGGCCAGTCCCGCTCCGACGAGCTGCATTCAGAGGCGGCGGAGAACGCGGCGCAGATGAGCGCCTCGCAGCACGTGATCAACCAGAAGTACGCCGGCTACCGCCAGTCGTCGGGCCAGAAGCACCCGACCCGCCAGTTCGTGGAGTCTGTCAATCCCACTCCCCAGCTCAACAGGCAGCCGCGTGCCTTCTCCGAGCCCAGGGATTCCCGCAGGCGGCGGGGAGGCATGAAGCAGGGCGCCGAGCGGCAGGCCACGCCCCAGTTCTTCGGGGAGTTGCAGCGGACGGAAGCCACCGAGGATGAGGACAACGCCGACTGGGGGGAGAAGCCGACCCGACCCGACTCGAAGCGCGACTGGCCGACGCCCCACCACTCGCTGCTCCAGATGAGCTCGCGGAGCGACTCGCGCCTGGATTCGGAGACCAGGGAGTCCGGGGATGGCAGGGAGACCAGGGGGAGTGGCAGGAGCGGACTGGGCGAGAGGCGGGGCACCAAGACCGGCGAGTCCGCCGTGGAGCGCAACGATATCGCCATGCCCCCGAACTACAGGAAGGAGTCGGCCGTGCAGCGCCTGGGAGCTGGCTTCCCCAAGTACAGCAGCCGCGCCTTCAACAGCTACTAGGTCCCCGGTTCCGCCTCCATTGCCTTCCCGAAAGAGATTCCTCCCCCATCGATGTCCACTGTCGTCCCCCCAGTCAGATGTTGGCTCCGGTCTGGAGTCCCCGCCAGACGGAGGGAACGCCTTCCGAGCAGAAGGGGGCTGTCAAAATCCTTGCAAGTCTACCAAATTGAAGCGTCGCCCAGAAAATCCCGGCAGTGTCTTTCGCCCAAAGTAGTAATTTCAACGTGTGCATTCGTATTGCCAATTAAATCCAGTTCAGTAGTGTGAAGTAGCTTACATTGGAAGGGTTTCTATTACATTTTGTTTTTGATTTGGGTATTTGGGTTGGTGTAGTGATACAATCAGGGTCTTTTCTCTTCAGTGGTCTATTTCTTCAGTAGCCTATTTCACAATCTCGTATGTGCAAGAGCGAGATGTACATACTTAGAGATGGGTTTACATGGTGTTTCTTAAAGGAGTAAGGGGGACATCAAGGATGACTTAACTTAAGGGATACACAATAACGTTAACTGCTTATCAAGCAGTGCTTAATAATAGGTATATGTACATAGGGCTGCTTGCTACACATTGGAAAGGTTTCTATTACATTTTTTTTTGATTTGGGTATTTGGGTTGGGGATCTGCAGTCTGTTCTTGAATTCACGAAGGACTGTAGGTTATTCAATTGTACCTACTCAACTGATCAAAAACATTTGTAAATCGTAGAGCTGTCGTGAATCCAGCTCTTCTGTGGATCAGAATCACTAAGCATCCCCTCAAGCATTGTAAAATAAACATCTCTGCGCCGTCTAAGTGTGTTTTCCTTTGACTTTTGTTCACTCGGCTAGTGCCAACAATGCCAAGCGAGCCCTTTTGATTTGTAGTTGAGTTTTCAGCCAGACAAGAGACACCCCACCCACAAAGTCGAAACAAACAGACACAGCAAACTAGCACTGCACACCCAGCCAATACTCTTAAATGAAACCCCAAACAGCCCAAGAAAAGCACAGAAAATGAAAAGCTAAAACCCTTTAAACTCCTCCAAACAGCAAAAACGTATTTAAGTATCGTTTGGAAATGTAATTTAGTTTGATTTGGAATTTACTTTTTGTCTTATCAATTAGATTATGTTTAATAGCAGCCCACTGAGTGTAACTTTTTGTGCTAATATATGTTCTTGTTCGTCCATCGTTCTCCAGGTGCTGTCAATGAGCACAGATGAGTATCGCAAGACCTCACTCTTCGCCACCGGCTCCTTCGACCTGGACTTCCCCATCCCAGACCTGATTGGCAAGACGGAAATCCTCACAGAGGAGCACCGGTAAGTGGTCACCTCCTGGGCGCCGCTCCCCCTTTTTCAAATCAAGTTCTATGCGTTTTCACTGAGCTGCTTTCATCGATGGGAACTGCTGGTCAATGCCTCTTCGAGAATGCCCACTAATCCTGGTTTTCCCTTGCAGCGAGAAGCTCTGCTCCCACCTGCCAGCCAGAGCCGAGGGATACTCCTGGTCCCTGATCTTCAGCACGTCGCAACATGGTTTCGCCCTCAACTCCCTCTACCGCAAAATGGCGCGTCTGGAGAGTCCGGTCCTGATTGTCATCGAGGACACAGAGCACAATGTAAGTTGGGGTTACAAATTAGAGTTATTAAGAGGCATGAAAGAAAGGAAAAGTCAAGCAATTAACGTATATTTTTTCAAGGGGAATCTTTAATTTAATTTTAAATATTTAGCATACTTTGAAAGGGCTCAGATGTAATCTCATTAATTCGCTCCTCACTTAAATCCTGCTCGCGTCAAAAACCTAATAAAACGGCTTTATTTTGATTGTTTAGAGTTTGTTTATGGGATTTTAATTAGAAAAATTCTTTAATACCTGTTTAGCATTGATAATTATCCGCATGCTAAATTTCAGCTAAGTGCAGTAGAGATTGCCGCAATTAAAAAGTGTATGTAGGCCTGTTAAAAATGACTGCACAAAGTCAAAACAAATTCTTGTCACACTTTTAATTAGCAATATTTACCCGTGAATACATTGTTATACTAAAATATATCATTTTGATACCCAAAGGTTTTTGGTGCCCTGACCTCGTGCTCGCTGCATGTGTCGGATCACTTCTACGGCACCGGCGAGTCCCTGCTCTACAAGTTTAACCCCAGCTTCAAAGTGTTCCACTGGACTGGCGAGAATATGTACTTCATCAAGGGCAACATGGAGAGCCTTTCGATTGGCGCTGGAGAGTGAGTGTTTGATGCCTTCTGATCCTCTTTCATTTGCTAACCCAATTTGAATTTGTGTGTTTCAGTGGTCGGTTCGGCCTGTGGCTGGACGGAGATCTGAACCAGGGACGATCGCAGCAGTGCAGCACATACGGCAACGAGCCTCTGGCGCCACAAGAAGACTTTGTTATCAAAACACTCGAATGCTGGGCATTTGTTTAAGTGAATTTCTGTTGTCAACAACAAACCAATTTAATTAACTATATGTACTTGTACTAAACCAACAACCTGAGAAAGATGTCAAAAGCTGATGTGCGTCTAGGGATCCTCCGAAACGGCCCGCACAGCCCTCGACCCGAAAAACACTTGCAAACACGAACACCACGAGGAGAGAGGAGGGAGGAGGAGGATATAGAACACTGATCTGATTCTGATTCTGATCTGGAGGAAAACGCTCGGAATCTTCTGTTCTCGGATGCAAAGTGCGAGCTAGCTACGCGTTGGAACGTATTAATTATTTAGTTTTATATTACATATTATTATACGAAAGCAACTAAATTATGTGTTAGACTTAAACAAAAGCAGAGTATGGGAAACCCCAAAGGCAGACAGACAAACGACACGGAAATTGAAGCGAAAACAATTGAAGATACATTAGAGGTCATCACACACACACACATCTCCATGAATTAAAGCACACGCATACACCCACACACACACACAAGCACACATTTAAGTTAAGTTCTTATTATCGGAAAATATAACCACCAAATTGTGAGAAGTATCATATAGCGAAATTGCAAATTTTGATCATTTATCGTGCCTGGTTCTCTTCACTGATTTCAGTTTGAATTTAATTTCGATGGTTTGAGTCACCCTATCCAGAGCATTGCGAAAAGAAGAAGCAGGAAGCTGAGAAGTTGAGAAAAGTAAAAAGAATGTCGATATAATTTTTAGTGCAAAAGTTCTGATTGCAAGTAAAACTGAAAGCGAAGATAACTTTTAACGATTTGACTTTTATATAAATGTAAAGAAGAAGGAGCCGAGGGCGAGCGTTTTATTTTTTAGTTTTACACGATATACATATATTTAATTACGATTATGTTAATGCTAATGATGTTGACTTTTATGCAATTATACTAAAACAAAAACAGAAACAACACCAGAATGAAATACACAATATTATACAACCAAACTGGCCAAACAGAGGTTTTACTTGATCCCAGATCCCCAGACAGTTAAATATATCCCCCCCAAACCCGTAGGTGTGCTACACTTTTCAAAGGCGAGATTTGTTTTGTAGTTGTAAGTTCTCTCCGCAGATATCGGTGCAGCCCGTACATAAAATTTATACAGACTCCTCCGCAGCAGAATCGGAAGGAGCTGCTGTTGGGGGGGAGAGGTTTTGCGGAAGTCAAACCGACAAACTTAAATGGCTTTATATCCCTTTTGAGATACAATTTCAGTATAATTATGAATAAATGATATACATATATGTATACACATACGCTATATATAAATGTACAATGGTAGAAACGAATCTAGGTAAATGTAAGTGTAATTTTTGTAGTGTATTTGCGCCCCCAAAACCAAAACCAAACCCAACCTAGCCCCAAGTTCCCAGTTCCCAGTCGATTGTATTGTAACCTCCCAAAAATCTATCGGCTACGCAACCGAGTCAGAAACATATTCTAAATATTCAAGTACACACAAGACGCTGGAGATAAATTTGAGAGAACAAACGAAACAAAATTGCTGATATTTTACACTGAACCGAGTTCGAAACTAACAAAAAAGAAAATAATTAAAACTATCATTTCATCGGAGTTAAAGTTTATACTGGTTTAAAAAGATTAAACGACTCAGAAGCAACGCACACAAGACATCAAAAGAAATTGTGAAATTGAAAAACGATAAACTGTAAAGATAATCCCTAACCGAAACCCAGAGAATCCTCTTAGCATGCAACTATTTAGAGAAATTTAGCTGAAATTTGCACGCACCCCAGCCCCAAAAAAATGGAAATATACATATGAAAATTTAAGCAAACGATGAACTATGGAGACTCACGCCAGTGAAGAAGTTTTTAGATGTTATTTAATGATCTTGACAGACAATTTTGTGTAGTTTTGCATGCCTAACCACATACCATATGTACATGTACGCTCTATATGGATGATAGTATATACATAACTCCCCTCAATACGCATTGAAACCAAATAAGAATCAAGTTGAAATTCCTGTTGTATTGTGAAAACGGAAGACTTTCTTTTTAGGACTTTAGAGAATCCAAAACGAACATTGGAAAGGCTTATGTTTACTGAGCAAAAGTTATGATAACCGAAACCGAGAGATCGGTTAAGATTAGCTTAAAGATCACTTCAACTATACGCGAACTTCATTTAAAAAACTTGAGACCAAAATGCGTTTACTAAGAGATATATGGCACCACAAACCAGGCGATAACTCCCCGAAGAGGCTTTCGTTGTGGGTCGAGCATAATGTCATTCAAAATTGATATGTATACCGAAATTAGTTTGTTGACAGCAGTCAATTATGTCTCAATACACAACCAACCAACTCACACACAAGCTGAAAGCTTCATTTTTGTAGTCTATGAAAATATGTTGTTGAATTCGTAGATATTTTGTTGTGCGTTGAACGGAAAATAAAGTGAACACTAAACCAAAAGAGAGCGAGGCGGCAAATTAATGAAGATAATTTTATATATTGTAACTTCTGTCAATTAAATTGTAGACTGGTGCATATACCAAGCGAAAACTGAATAAGATATGCCGCACATGTTGTTGTTACGGCAGACAATTGTTTAAGCCATCAATGCATGATTATATTGATGACAATATTGATATTGATGCCCCTAAGTTTCTGTTGTGAGTTCAATAAGTGCTTAGTATTTGTGTAATATGTATTCAGGCAAACATAAGTACCCCGATGTATATCAAGATAGTGCCCCCCCCCCCAATAAGTGGGATTACCCTTAAGCCTAGTGCGAGTGCTTTTTCCACTCACTGTCTGCGTTTCCAGTTTCCAGTGCTTTGCCCATTACCATTACCAAGTTGAGTAGTTTGCAAGCGTTTCTAGTTGTTGTGCACTGAAATTAAAACAAACGTAATTCGCACAATTCGAGGCAGATATTCAGGATATCGGATACACAATATACACATTCTTAGAGATGTAGATTTGCGATTGTCAGGAGCTGAAGGAGCCGAAGGACTCCCGTGGATCTCCCGCTTACTTCAGTGCCGCCCTTAGAACGCTGATTGTAGAACCGAACGATTGTAAAAACTCCACTTAGAAGAGAGCACACTCTAACCATGCCACAACTAAAGGTCCATGCCACATAGCAATGTTATAGCATATAGGGGGAGTGGACGAGCAGGAAGGAAGGAGCAGGTTTTTTAAGGATATAGACAGATCGGGGGAGTCAGAAAGGAAAGTGGGTGGGTGCAGCAAGTGGTTTATTTTTCTACCGGCGGATTGCAGGCGATGAAAATGTATAGTTGATTACTCGACGAACAGCAGCCATTACCTAGGTCGTGTGTATATACGAGATATATCTACCTACATACATACATACATATATATATTTTTGGAAAGCAAATCGAGTGTATCTTGATGATATCGGCTAGCTGTATTCAGGTCGCGACCAAGTACTAAGCATATTTGCAAACGATATTGATCAGTGTACATGTTAAAAATAAATCGAAAGTTCGAACGTTCGCCTTGGTTGTTTCGTTTAAATGGAATGCATTCGTTGTTCTTCAGTTATTCTAAACATAATATAGATATCGGATTAGTTCATGTGTGCAACTTGTATCGTACCTATAATATTGCATTCCAAACAAAAATCAATGAAACTGAAAAACACATGAGCAGAACAGCAAGAAAATATATATAAATATATATACTATATGTAAATGTAAAGTCATTACAAAAATGAACAACTTTTCTGAAAAATAAAATGTATATTCAAATATCAGCAATGGTTTTTATTTTGGGTTGGCACACGTTGTTACATTATTTGTTACCTAACTATAAGTTTTAATACCCTTTTATAATTTCAGACAAGAATTATAATTTGAATTGTAATTTTTATCTTTACAAGTAAAAATATATAGTACATGACAGTCTGTCGTAAGTCTTTCTGGTTCTAAACAAACAAAAAAGTCAAACTTAACCATATAGATGTCATTGAATCTATCCCAATAATAAAAGATCACCGAAAAATGTGCCTTTTGTATTTTTAGAAGTTTTTAGATTTTGATTTAATCAGTTTCAGAAATACGAACTGCTTTTTTTTTAAATCCTAACAAAAAACTGACATAAATAAACGAAAAGTTAAAGAAACGAAAATCTCTTTGTTGTTTAACGTCCCTGTCTTTGTACAACATTCGAAGTAAAAAATTCTCACGATTTTAGATACATTTTTCATAATATAATTTCAGGAAAACACATATTGTAGAATACAAAAATGAGGAAATGTTCCGGAATAGCGTACAACAATCTGTTTTAAACATAAAAAGATTGAGAATAACCTAACAGCTGTATCAGAATATAGTCGTCCGATTTTGATGAAATTCAATTCGTTATTCAAGAATCGTTAGAAAACTCTATACATATTTCAAAAATCGTGATTGTCTGATGAAAAACAACGATGTTATCATTTTATTTCCGTTAATTCTCAATAGATTTTTCGATCTTTCCTATGGCAGTTATATGACATAGTTGTCCGATTTTTTTCTCGGTTCAAGGGTAGTTAAAAAAGTCGTTGTTGTTAAAATCATGCTCGTGGAATAAAAAACAACGACGTTATAATTTTTTTTTTCCATTATTTATATATATAAATTTCGAACTTTCCTATGGCAGCTATATGATAGAGTTATATAGAGTTATAGAATTTAATCCGAAATTGAATAGTACATACTTAGAAAACGCCATGTGGAAGAAATAAAGTCGATCTGATTAAAAACAACGGCGTTAGAATTTTGTATTGCAATCTCTTGCATGGGAGCTATCCTATATAGTCGCCCGATCCGGCCCGTTCCAACTTATATACTGCGTGCAACAACTACACAACTTTTGGGAAAGATTCAGCAAAATAGCTTTAAAACTGAGAGACTAGTTTGCGCGGAAACGGACAGACGGACAGACAGACAGACGGACAGACGGACAGACGTACAGACGTACAGACGAATTTGGATTCAGATCGTAATGCTGATCAAGAATATATATACTTTATGGAGTCTGAGATGTCTCCATCACTGCGTTGCAAACTTCTGACTGAAATTATAATACCCTATGCTCTGCAAGGGTATAAAAATACTGCTTCCGAAGACTAATGATTTAATTATTAAATCTGTGTGAAGACTTCGGTTCGGAAGTCTTTTCATGTTTTGTAGTCAACTTACAAGATCAAATCAAAATTCTACAAAAGCCCAAAAGAAGGCAATGAATATTTTGTCCCAATGGCAAACTACATTTCATCTTATTTCAGAAAAATATTTCCTGTATATCTCAGCTACATTTGGATGTTGTTCTTTCTCCAAGGCAATCGTAAATTACATTTTAAGACCCATTAAAGTTCGCACAAAAATAAAAGAAACACAGACGGATTTCATTTGCTCAGGCGTTCTTTTAATATAAAAATATACGTATAATATGTAGATATGCCATAAATATACATATTTCATGATTTATAGGATAACAAGAGACAGATTTTTGACAGACATATATTTCCGCTTGTTATTAGATGTAAACGATATCAAAAAGTTTTCTAGCTAGATGAATGAGAGTTAACTGATTGAGTGGGATGCCAAGCGATTCGCTGGCTTGTTAAATAATTTTGAGATAGGATACAATGAGCGTCGCGACTGTTGCTGTTGTTATTGAAGATGGTTAACTTCTGTTTAGGTATAATACTTTGGCAGCCACAAACTAAGAATGAGCTAGGCAAAAGGTCCTGACAAAGATGCAACAAACTAATAATTAGTAAACAATCAACTCGGACGCTGACAAGGCAGTAAGCTAATGGTTAATGCGAGAATAACTAAGGGTACGACTTAGATGCTAAACTAGAAGGCTTAACGACTAAAGGAGCTTTGATTCACTTTCGCAATTCGGGATTGGGCTGACGCCCGTCCGGAGCTATAAATAGTTTTTAACTAGCTTTATACATGTGTGTTTGGTTGGAAATAATTTACACTTTTTGGTTGCCCTTTAGCTGCGTCGCCTGCTTGGTTACGTGCAAATTTCGCTGCTGGCTGCGCAGGCGTTGCTCGACACGTTGGCATTCAACGCTCCCGTTCCCGTGGACATGCTGGCCGGCAGGCTGGATGAGGATGAGGGCGCGGCTGCTGTTGTCGTGGTGTGCGGGGTATGCGGGGTGGTGGTTGAGTCGGGTTCCGCCTGGTGGGCTTGGGCTTGGGCAGCCACGTTGTTCGTCTTGCTGTTCTCCAGCTTGGCCCTGTTCAGGGCCTCCTCGCGCTCCTTGGCGTCGAAGTACCAGACGGTGATGGCGTAGCGGGTGCGATGAGCGGGCTGCACTTCGTGCGGATTGCGGATGTCCGACCAGAAGAATATCAGCCTGTCGAACTTGGGCTCAATGTCCGCCACCGTTGTTCCGGGCGTTGGACGAATTCTGTTAATAGTTTACGATTAGGTTAATTTGCAAGCCTCAGGTATGTTAAAGAATCCTACCGTAGCATGCCGCCGCTTTCGCTGGCATCCCAGTTAATATTCAGGTAATAGATGGCTGTTATAACGCGTCCGTCCTTTTTGGGGTTGTCCACATGCATCACATAATGCGTACCCGATCCTGGATAGCAGGCGACCATGGCCTACCATTTAAAAACGGTGTGTTAAGTAAATTCTTATGGGAGTTCCTGCCGGTTACTTACCCTCGTCCGCTCCCTAATGTGGTAGTTCCCCAGAATACCGTTATCCTTCATCGTATTGACGCGATACACCACTGAGTCAATCTGGAAAGGAATAAAGAATGATATTATAAGATTAATAAGGCGGGTTATCGCGGATTGTGGTTATGGCTGATAGAAATAAGGAAATTCCTCAAATTTAATTTGGTAAATTAATGTATAAATTTATAAGTAATCTATTTCCTTATCTTGTTGAAAATCAGTACATTAATATCTCCTTTTAAAGACAACAAACACTTTTTTCCAGTTTTAATTATGTATGTATCAAGAAAATACTTATGTTCAGATCGGTAGCGTTATTGGGTTCACCCTATATATGCTAGTGCTCCTACAGAGTTAACAAAACCATTCTGATAATAATTTATAATTATAAGAAAAAATATAGTTGGGGTAGCTTTACGACTAAGAAAAATTCCTTAATTGCTCTTTCGGTTAAGTAATCACAACTCACCTGATTGGTCAGATACCAGACGTTGCTGCAGCCCGGCTCGTTGCCACCAACCCACTTGATCTTATCGCCCCTGATCTTGTCGCCTTTCACTCCTGAGGCCGGAGCATCGGCCATCTGGTTGGTCACCACTTGGCCATCTTGAAAGGCCCCGGCGATGTACATGCTGCGGACCTCGTTGAGGATCTTCAGACCCGTGTCCATGCCCAGGAAGTCGTCCACCACGGACAGGCCGTACTGGTTCATATCACTGATGATGTTCCGGCACAGATCCTCGTAGCGCCGCTCACTGCGGAAAAACGTAAGAGAAACAAAGAACATTAATCAGACTGGGAATTGCGTTTTAGTTGATCGAGAGGCAGAGAGTCAGCCACATCAACCTTTCAAGGCCGCTAATCTGTAATCGACTTGACGATGCCTATGTGGGTGAGGTCACCTTGGGGAAACCCCTGCATTCTACAGACCTAGACAGCGTTTTTCCTCACTATTCTTAGCACAAGTGTTATTGCAAATAGGTTTTTTTTAACGGATCTTTAAGAAAAAAAATACTGCGATGCATACAGTTTTACGACTTTTTTATGATGCCCCCATAAAACAAATATTTTCATACAAGTCAGTGGGTCCCAGTCACGTAGGCCACCCAGATCCGAACGGATCGAGAAAGAGCAGATCCCACAAATTCTGGATAGGCGAAGCAACGCCAAATATTGCGAAAAATAAATAAATAAAACATTTTCGCACAAGTTCACAGAAGCTTAAAAAGTCATAAAGTCGCAGAAATAAAAAATTACTGAAACGTGCGGGACTGTTGGTTAACATCGATTTCCTCGAAATGGGGAGTATAGAGCTTGTATCTTTAGAAAGCAAGTTGTGTTTGGACAACATGTTAATACAATAACTAGTCAAATACACGGACTGTCTGAAGATGAAGATACAAAAAGATGACATTGAAGACCAAAACCAGAAGCCGTTAACCGGTTTTCGTATTTATAATCTACATACGAAAAATTAAAGTTATGAGTGCACAACAAGTGCAAAAAACTTTCAAAGCTCATATTTGGTTTCGGTCAGCGACAGGAGCACAATACATAACTACTGAAGGTGTGGTTCCTTGGAATTCAGTTTATATTTTTTAAGCTCTTGCAGCATAATCTTTCAACCTACGAGATCCTAAAGGTCGTTTTAAGTTCGTGAAAATAATTTACCGCTTATCCAGTAGCTCCCGGAAATATTGCTCAGCATTAGCAGGATGTGCCGAATGCTTGAAAAAATTGTTGTAATCCGTAGTTGTGGAGGTTATCATTTTGCGTTGATTATTCAGCTTGTGATCCTTGTACTTTTGTGGCACTTGCAAAGGTTTTGGGTCCTTTTTGGGTAACCCAGTTTATCAGGCGGTATTTATTAAAGAAGTTTGCGAGTGATTGTTATAGAATTTGATCCTTTTTTGTTATGGTTTTGTAAGGAGAGTATTTTAAAGCGAGTTTAGAGATACTATTAGGGGCACTGTTTCTTTTTTTTTCAGAACCATTTAGTAAGGAAGAATGGTTCTCGAGCGACTTCTTCTAAAATTCACGCAAAACTGAAGAAAGTTTGAAATCGCCTGCGAGTTTTATGCGAACGCGAGCCCCGATCATTAGAGAAAAAGAGAGCGAGGGAGTTAGAGAGAGACACCGGTCGTTTTATTATATCGTATATCGGTGTAGGGCGCCGCGTATTTGCAATCGTATTGGTGGGCAGGTGTGAATAATTTTTGATTGCAATTGTTGTGACCAGCTGCAGATATTGAATATATATGTATGTACGGTAGCTTTGTTTTGTTTCACTGGCAGCTGTTTGGTTTGAATTGCTTTTGTTTATGCAGCGTTAGTCACGTTTGTTTATCGTTTAGATTTGGTAAAAAAATTTAAGTACACGAGTGTAACAGCTGAAACGAACCGCACTCGTTGCCGTTCGATAGTCGAATGTTGGAGCAACGACTGTCGCTCTCGCCCAGTACCGTTGCCTTACGCATTAGTAGAGAGGAAGAGAGCGAGGAAGAGCGGAAGAGATTAGAGAGCAGGTGAGGTGTTTTTAGCTAGTTTCTCGCTATTTTAAAAATTAAAGCTATTTTTTGATATTTTTATAGAAACTAATTTACGCTTTACCATAATGCGGATTTTCATCAAACAAAACGCGAAGAATCAGAAACCACGATTTATACAATGCATACATTAATTTAAGTTTTAATTTTAATTTAATATTTTGTTAATATCTTGAAGTTTTAAGTCATGATTTTAGTTGAAGTTTCAACAAAACACCATCGATTTAACTTTAACTTTTACTTAGCTGGTCTGAAGATTCTTTACGGACAGCTTTTCTGAGTCCTAGCTTTTTTCTCTGACTCATCACTAATCATGAGAAATGTTAAAGGGCCTCGGAAGCCGAGCAAGCAGCCGCTTGAGGCGATAAGCAACACCCTGGTAAGTGTGAATAAATATTGGAAAATGAGGCCAAAAAAAGGTAAAAGACAGCTGCAGATAAGCGCAAACCGATTTGGACATGCAAATTTAGAGAATCAGATCCAAATCGCAACGATACATGGAAGCGGGAGGGCGGTACTAGTTCCGCTCGCCCTTCAAATACAAAAACACTCAGTAAACACAAACAAAATGCAGACGGAAAAGCGGGAAAAGGCAAGCGCAACAAAAGTCACGTAGCCCAGCACACACACAAACGCAAACGCACATGCGAGCGCACCCACACACTCATCCGCAGGGGCACACGCACAGGCGTTAATGCGATAGCCAAGAGTGTTAGAAAAAGACAAATGAAAACGAAGGGAGTGCGAGCGGCGCAGAGATATATATTTAAAATGTTTGATACAAATATCTGCTAAAACACTTTGAAAATAAACACACAGATGAGCCACAAAACGTCGGAAACACGCGGAAGCTTTGCAAATGTACGGACCACAGAATTGGGTCAACGGCCCAGTTCAAAGTCGCAGACAAAACGGTTTCACTGAAAAAAAATCTATGTATATGCTAAATTTTGAAAGGAACTCTTCTTGCGAGTAACCTTTTGAACTGTTTTAGATTTACACAAGGGGGGATAAACACTTTTTGAATGGGAGCAAATAACATGTTTAATAAAGGGATTTATGTGCCTAAAATAAAGTAGGTAAAAAAGTTATCATGGTTATATACTCCTAAATGAGAGATTTACTAAATCATTTTGAACTATTGATGTACACATATGTATCTGTAAGTTTGGACTTTCACATATTTGTTTTCTTTCCTGAACACCAATTCGCTTAAACTTCTGCTAACGCAATGCGAGAATGACAATCCTCAAAAGCAGCATTTTTTTTTTTGGAACACTAAAGCTAATTTCGAACAATATTAAATGAAGCTAAACTGTTACGAAATTCTTTCAGTGCAAACATGTTTCTGTGAACATTTCAATGATCGATGCGAGCCCTTCGTCTGTGATGTATTACGTGCTACGACGGCAACTGCGGCACGTGCACCAAACACTGCCCTCAGCCCTTCGAAGTAGATGAAGATTCGGCGGGGTAAAGGGGCGGGGCAGGCGCACACGCACTGAGCGATAGGCGACCTTGATGACGTGCGTCAGGCTACGTAGCTCGCTTTGGTTTAATTTGGGTTCGAGATCTATCGTCGGATACCACTTAAGTTCGATGATTGAACTTAAGTTAATTAATTATTTTTAATAGAATGGATTACAATGAAAATTAAAGGGTGACAAGAACAGGAGGAGCTTCTAAAATACAAGACACTAATTATAAACTATTCTGAGAGCAGTATTCAAACTTTACCTAGCCAATTTCGTAAATCGGTACTGTTACCATAAAATCAATTGTTTTCGCACGTTACTATTGTACATATGTACTTTACTAAAAAAGTCATTTACCTTTTTACATTTTCATTTACATATTTTTAGAATGGGAAAAAAATAATTTTTGATTAGTAAAGCTTAGATTCAGAAATTGTATTAAACACTTCAAAAGGATTAGGCCATGATGCAAAACACAAAGTGATAAAAAAATTTTTAACCGAGTTGAATAACCCTAAATTCAGATTTTTAAGCATTACTTGTTTGTCTAGATTCCTTTACATTTCCGAAAAAAGTAAGTATATGCATAATTTATACTGTACTTTCTTTTTGGAACCCAGGCACTTTTAAATAATACAAACATTATTTGCATACGTAACCAATAGGGGAGTGCAATGCTTAATATTGAGCTGTGTATATTATTAATCCGGGTACGAACATATAAAAAAAAGACCGGCTGAATGGATATCGACCTTTCTTATCATACATGACATTGAAAGCCAGCGACGGATGAATGCGGTTTTGGGCGATCTGTGTTTATCAAGTTTTGCGCAATCACATTATTTATTTTTCCCGGCAAGTTGCTTGACAGGCACACCAGTAAATTTAGCACATTTATAAACAATGCCGGAATTTTGCAAGCCCCTGAAAATGAGATCACGTTGGCTTGACTGCTAATTGTTTGATAAAGAACAACACATCTCGCGGCAGATTGAAATCTCAGAGCTAAGGCAAATGGTGAATCCTGATAACACGATTTGAACGATACGCTTGCGTATGCCCGGCACGTAGACAAAACGCTTTGGACTAACCTGGTGAACGGACCACCCACTTGGGGCGATAAGCAGCTCAAAAAGAGGCGGCAGACATACACTTTCTCACAACATTTTTTCAACTTTTGATACAAAAAAATAAAAATTAAAAAAAACGTGTCTTTAAAAAACACTCACACATTTATGTAATTTAAATTCTAAATAAATTATTTAAATTCGGTAATAAGATATTAATAAATAGGTTAGTTACAGGTGTTGAACTTATAGCAGACAAAAATCAATTATTAAGTGGGTTGTATTATTGATAATTTAGCCAGATTCGTTGGACGTTATAATGTCCACCGATAGCGAGAGTTTCTATAATATTGCGATGTGTGCGGTTGTGCATGTTTGTGGTATCTGTTAATGGCAGGGTGTAAAGCAAAAATAAATAAATAAGCGAATATTAAAGATTCGGACGCAACGAACTGCGCAAAAGAATAATTACAAAGTCAGCACCGTGCGTTCGGGAAAATGCGACTGCAAGTGTTATCAGATCGGCTGAGGTCGCCATAAGCAATATACTGCCGGGCACGTAATGCCAAAGGTAAATACTCGGACTGGAGATGTGTCATCTAATCTGAAGATTACTAAACTGCTTACTAAAACACTCGATCACTACGTCATCACCAGGGCTAACAGAGTTATGTTTTTAAATGAAAAAATATTTATTTCCATATTTTCGCCTTTTTCCCTATAAATCCATATTTTACACAATCACTTGAATAAATCCATATTTTGAGCAATAAAGTGTCTGAAAACCTATAGAAAGATATCGTTTGCCTTATACTCGATAATAAATAATGGAAACAAAACAAAACAAGATTCAGTATTTATTCTATATTTCTTGCTTTCAGTTCTTATGTCTCTTAAATTCATTTTTATCATATAAACACATATTGAGTGACAAACGTCGTAGTTTTGTTTTTACTAATTTGACACAACATGTCATATTGTTCTGCAATGATCTTTGAGACAAACGGCGTACGTTTGTTTGTAGCGATTTCTAATTGTTCATTGTCATAAAAAGTTAATATGATCGATATAATCGTCTACGTTTATCCATTTTTTTAACTATATTTATCCCTTTTTTCGTCTATACTACCTATATTTATCCATATTTATCTATTTTATTCCATATTTGTCAACTTTTTCGTCCATATTTCGTCCATATTTCTCAATTTTTTCGTCCATAAATCCATACATATTTTTACGTTTTTAAGAACATAACTCTGTTAGCCCTGGTCATCACAAATCACATTTTCGATCACACTCATGAAAAGGAAAGACTAGGAAATTATAAAATAAATTATGTATCATTGTTCGCACAAACTTTAAATTTATTAAAACTGTCGGTTAATGTTGTGTACTTTTTATTACTTCTGCTAATCCCCAAATCAAAAGTAAACCAAAACATATAATATCCTGAAAGATTATTAAGATTATTAAATAAATTCAATTATTAATATAGTTTAAAAAAAAAAACATCACCATTGCTTTAACTAAAGTTTGTACGAGCACGACTTGAGTTATATTTATTTATCTAATTCTTGTATACATTACTAATATACTGTTATACTGTTATACGGTTATATTCGTTTTAGAGAAACGGGAAAAATTAAAAAACTGGCTAGAGTGGCTAAAGCGACTCTTTCTATAAAGCACATGTACATATGTACAATGTATGTATGTATTTCTGCTAAAAGAGAATTCCAATATCAAAAAGTTAACATTTAGTTTTCTATAAAGATTTAAATTAAAAGAGCCATAAAGTATGTATATCATTCACTCTGGATGATAGTCATCGACTTTGTCATATTTTGTTTTCTTTAGTGCCGTTCCACAGAAGTGGGCACGTATCCGCTTATCGTTAATTGACTTGATATGCAAGCTAAGATCGTCGAGGGGAAGGACGGGGCCTGCGACGATGAGAATGCACATGTTTGCCCTTAATCTTGGGATATACATACATACATGTATATACATATGTATGTATATTTCGTTTAGCGGACTCGATGTTTCCACAAATTACAAAAGAAAATTCAAGGGCACGGCGTTGTGGCGTTTAATTAATATTGTTCTTGAGGTAAAATCGTGGCTGATCAAATACCAGATAACAGCAACTGATTTCTAGATAACATATAAAAGGTAAATAAGACATTTTTATTGAGTAAGCCAAGACTTAAAATGTATATGGATTTTATCAAAATATTTAATTAATTTTCCGATACCTTCCAAAACCTTTTTAAAACCATTTTTTAAGTAAAAAATGAAATTGAGTAGAAAAGACGTAAAAGTCAGAAGGTAGCAATTCTACAACTTATTTACTCAAATACACACGCTTTCGACTAAAAGACAGAATATACAGAATATACTGAAAAACAAGATTCTATAATCTTCTTGTGAGATCTCCGCTTCTGTGGATCCGATTGGAGCTGATATGGAATACAATCGCCAGCCGTGTCCCATCAGGATTGTGGAGGACTGCGGGTGCGCTTTTTTGATGGGCACCACAGGAGGATCATTGTTCCAATTCCTCAAGGGTTACCGCAACTCGCCAACCGGTTTACGGCGTGGCCTGTACGGCGGATTTGAGTCGTTGAAGTTGCGGACTCCGGCAATCGCCGGGAGCTTTGCCATTTGGGGTGCCACCTTCAGCACGGTGGACTGTCTCATGATTTCTTATCGGCAAAGGGATGACCACTGGAACTCGGTGCTCAGTGGAGCCGCCACTGGAGGAATTTTGGCTGCTCGCAACGGCATTCGGGCCATGGCCAACAGTGCCTTTGTGGGCTGTCTCGTTTTGGCCATGTTAGAAGGAGCCGGTACAGCCGTGGCCACAATCTATGCATCTGACGAAGATGGTGCCACAGTCTTTGATGTCAAGCAACCGGAGAGACCCCAATGGGAAGCTTCGTTTGTAAATTTGGTGGACTCTGAAAAGAAGACTTCCTCCATCGGTCAAGAACTGGCCATCTCGGAGTTTGGGCGCGTGCTGGATAAATGTCGAGTCTATAGGGCCCGGAAATTGACGCTGCAGGATACGGGATTGGATATTTTGAAGGGTAAAGAACAGGAGCGGATGGAACCATCGCCATCGCTGCTGGATCTGGTCAAGCTCGCCGATATTATTTGATAAACCAACAAAACTCTTTAATTTTTGAGTCAATCTTGTGTTTTCGCGGTCCCTTTTCTAAATTATGTGATAGTGAATTAACGTTAGGCTAACGATACTCTCTGTTGATTTATTGTATTTTTGTAATCGCAGCATTCCTTAACATATTAAAACCATTTTCTTGGAGAGCTTAGCTTATGGTCTTCTTTATCCAATTTATAAAATGGTGGAATGAGACGATATCCCAAATGTTTTGTAAAAATTAAATATTAAAGGGGTACAGACGGAATCATGAAAAAATCCTAACAAAAAAATGTGTATATTTATAAACTAATGTTTAACACCTTATAATCTGTTACGATAATTACCTTCCCGATCCCATGAAGCTGGCATCCGCCAGTCCAATTTGAAAGCTGGAGCTCTTCTCGCCATGATGATGATGATGATGGTGGGAGTGGGAGTGGTTTTGGTGCTGCAGGTGGTGATTTTGACCCGCTTCCGTTTCCGCTGGACCCGTCTGCGCTTGGCTATCCGGTTGTCCGAGGAGATTCAGCAGGCTGTCCACCTCGGCGGGCCAACTCTGCGCCTGGTGGGCAGGCGTCATCATCTGGGCGGTGGAGCAGTTAGCGCCGGCGCCACTGCCCTCCAGATTGGCGGACGCCACCGCTTGTTGCAGTTGCTGAATTTGCCGCTGTTGCTGCTGCTGGTGCTTGTTGTTGTTGCTGCTGCTGTTGACCTTTTGGCGGGCCAGAAGACGGCACTCGGTGCGGTGAGTCGGCCAATCGAGGTGCTGGTGGGCGGGGGAGCAGTAGTAGACGGCCTTGCACTTCGCGCAGCGCAGCAGCTGTTGCTGGGTGCCGCAGGTGGAGCAGCGCGGGGGGTCCATTGCCGACTTGGATCCGGAACGGGAATCGGAATCGCTGGCTGAGTCCCTGACCTTTCCGCGACCCCTACTCATTGCATTTTCCTGGAGAACCGAAGGCGTCTACTTATTTTAACCTTGACTGCGCTCTCTGTTTTTTTCTTGCTCCACCTTCGCCCCAGTTACACACACACACAATCTCGCACACACACTAGCACTCACAGATTACGGCTATCAATTATCAATGCGAATTACGGCACGCGGCTCGTTTTAGCCAACATTTCACTGTTAGTTCGCTTGCGCTTATTTTAATCACGTAGGCCACCACAGAATTAGCCAAATAAACAAAAAAAAAACACAATGCACACACACAAACGCACGGGCAGCTATATGTGCATTGTTGTTTCTTTTGTTTGGGATTATTCTCACTTGGAGCTGTTTTAAGAACTGGGATTTCACTCTGTGTGCTCTTTGGTCATGGGCCTTGCTCTTGGTTATTGTTTGGTCGTTTAAGTTGCGGGACAAAACGTTAAAAAGATGAAAAAATGTGAAAAATCTTGACGCACAAACTTTTTTGCTCGTTAGCGATGTACTCTAACCGATACTTGGCGATGCCTGTGGTGTTGTACAGCACTCAAACCCGGCAGAAAGGCCATATCGATAGCCGCTAGTGGTGGTAAATTCGTACTGTCGCAGAAACACAAGCTCAATAAGCAGTCGTATTCGAAAATAGCCTGGCATACAGTATTCAAGATTTTTGAGTTCTATAACATCAAATATTAAATAAAATTGTATTAAAGCATGAAAATGAAATTGGCATTTTCATAAGAAAACTTTTATTATATAGCTACACAATCGATAGCCGGTAACTTGAGTGCCACCTCTATCAGAACACTTCTTATCAGAACCAAACAGATGCTGGACTCTTGGGTAAACATTAAATTCGCGTGATAGTTTATTCCACTGATAAGCGCAATGCCGACAAGTGAACGTGTGGCCAAAGTGGTGCTGGTGGACATCGAGGGTACCACTACTTCGATCAGCTTTGTGCACGATGTTCTCTTTCCCTTCGCCAAAGAGAACGTGGAGAAGTTCCTAAAGGAATCTTGGGAAAACGAGGATACCAAGCAGATTGTCAAGGATCTGCAGCAAGTGCCTCAGTTTACGGACTACAAAACCACGTTAAGTGCTCCATCTACGGAGGTTGATGTGGGTCTTATTACCGATTTTGTGCGCTACCTAATCGACAAAGATCTGAAGGTTACGCCGATGAAAACGCTCCAGGGTCTCATTTGGGCTCAGGGTTATGCCAGTGGAGAGCTCAAGGGACAGTAAGTTGCACAACATCATAGAATTCATGTTTTGCCCCCTGTCTGAGTAAGAAACTTCTCTTATCAAAATCATACTTACTTTTTTTCTTTACTATTGTTAATTTTTAGTGTATATGAAGATGTGCCCGCCGCCTTTCAGACTTGGAGTGCGGCTGGCCTCCGGATTTGCGTCTACTCCAGTGGGAGCGTGGCCGCCCAGAAGCTGATATTCGGGCACAGTATAGCCGGGAACCTGCAGACCCACCTAAGCGCTCATTTCGACACGCATGTGGGCCACAAACAAGAGCAGAAATCTTATGAAAATATAGCTAACGAATTGGGAGAGGAACCGCAGCAGATACTTTTCCTCACGGACATTCCAGGAGGTAGGACCTTAAACTCTTTGTATTCTATCTAACTGCTAGTCCTTCCTCGCATTTCAGAAGCTGCTGCTGCTCGCTCTGCTGGACTGCAAGCCATTATCCTTCAACGTCCCGGAAACGCCGCCTTGACGGACGATCAAAAAAGCAGCTACGAGGTTATTCCGGACTTTAAGCCACTTCTTAACCTGAAACTGCCGAACAATAAAGCGCTGGCGTAGATCGATCCAAAAAAGTATGAGTATATTGTGACTAGGTGCATGGAAATTAGGTGATTCGCTAGAGGAAAGCCCGGTCTACGCTGCAGAGGTCGTCGCCGCTGTCGTGGCTGGGCGTCTCGGTGGTCTGTCCCTGGGGCCTTCTTCCGGACCGCTTACTCCGTTGGGACTGCCGTGAACAGGACTTCTCCGAGCCGTAGATTTTGCGCAGCTGCTGCAGCTTGGTATCGGCATCTGGCACTGTACACTCGGACTTCTTCTTCCTCCGCTGGCGGCTGCCCTCGCAGGAGTGCCGCAGCTCCTCGCTTCTGCAGGTGTGGGTCAGTTTGCCCACCTCCGGGCCCCAGAAGGTGGGACCCTCGAGAAGAAGTGGGGCGGACTTGACCCGCTGTCGCATCATTTCCATATGCAGTTCGTACTGGCGCTCTTGGAAAGCCTGCTCCGCCTTTCGGGTGGCCAGCCGGATGGATAACAACGCCTTGTGCGATTCGCTGAAAAAATAATGATTAAAGGATGCTCAATTATAACCGTTTGGAAGACGAGTTTATGTACTATTGTACTCACTTTAAAGACAGCGACTTCCAAGCTGGCGTCTTTCGCACCTCCCAATCGAATTGCGGACGCGGATCGTGGTAGGTGCAGTTGTTCTTTAGCTCCTTAACCTTTTTCCGCGAAACTTCAGCCCTCAAAGTGGCTGCCAGATTTGGACGCGACACCGGATGCAACGGCGACACACTCGGCGTCCGTCGCTGGGCAGGTTCCTCTGGCAAATGGAAAATGCTCAGTGGAGCCAGAGCCTTCTCCTCCTTCGAAGCAGAGCCTGGCTTGATCTTCTTCCCCCTGCCGCGTCTCCAGCGAGCCCTTCCTGCAGTTGAGGCACTACTACTGCGCTTCGAAGAGGCGGTGGGCGATTGTATATGTATCTTGGGGACATCTTCCTGCTTGCAGCGCGGGAAATAGTTGCTCTCCGACGGCTGAGCAAGCTTGGAAGGCTTAAGACTCGGCGCTGAGGAGCTTCCTTGTAGATCGTTCACGCTGAAGCACCTGCGCAACATTTCCCTCCGGCACTTGGCTCGCTCGGCCGTGTGCTGGCCGGGATTAGCAGTTGGCTGGGTGCGGTTTTGGGGCTGACTCTGGTTGTCGGTCTGCGTTTGGGTCCCGTTGCTGCTGGTGGACTTTGGCCTGCGGAACTCTGCTTCAAAATTCTTAAGGGACCTCTTGAAGTCCGCCACCTCCACGGCGAAGTCCTCCTTAAAGCTCTTCAAGCGACTTAAGTCCCTGAGGCACTTGTCGTACTCCTCGCTCAGGCAGCTGGAGTTGGGCGTGTGTACCACTGGATGAGGGACGCAAGCTTCCTCGTGCTTGGGTATTACTACGATTGCCGGCGGAGTGACTGGATCCAGCACCAGGGGACGTTTTTTCATCTTACTGCCCTTGGACGACCGCTTCTTGGACTTGCCGTGGCACAAAGAACTGCTGCTGGCACTGGCACATCGTTCCCGAGTTGTGGCAGCAGCTGGCTGGGATCGGAGTTCGCGACTTGTGCTCCTCAGACTTTCCAGCGTGGAGTAGAACTCCGCCTGGTGCAGGTGTTTCACATCGCAGTAGTCTGTGGGGATATTAAAAGAAATGCACAATAGTTTATTATTTTTTAAAATTATTTTAAAAAAGTTAAGATTAAATATATTTCGATTTAAGAAATTCTTTAATGAGGAGTCTTATAGTTTTTGGGTTTTTTTTTTTATAAATATTGAGTTTAACCTTAAATGTTATTTATTTTATATATTATATAATGTTTAACCATGAATTCAACGATTAAGATAAAAATAACATTAATTTCCTTTGTCTGATTTTTATAAGTGATTTTTATGAGTTCTTCTATTGACTGTAAATCTATCCAATAATAAACTGGCAATGGGTTTCCTAAATAAGTGTATCGTTTACTTAGAACACCCATTTATGAAATCGTTTTCCCTTAGTATTTAGTTCGGGGAACCAAACGCACCTGGTATGCTGTCATAGAATTTAGCCAGGGACCTCACTCCCATCTGGCTGCTCCACGCAGGTGTCTCTGCCTCCGGCGATGCAGTGGGGGCCGTGTCCGGCGGCTTCTTACCGCCGAGGGAGCAGAGCTTGGGGCGATTGTAGACAGGAGCCGGACAGTTGTTGCACGGATCAATGGGCACTTTCACACAGGAGTTGAGATAGTGCGAGCTCATGCTGCGAAAAGCGGAAGTCTGGCCTGCTGGAAAACGGTTAATTGTTGCAAACGCGCTTTATCAATACCGAGCGCAACCTGGAGTTGTTGCCAGCGGTTACCTTCCGCTGTTTGTTTTTGTGCACTTCCGTTTTGGCCCTCTATTCGCCAGGTCACGCACCGACTTGCTGTCCTGGTTTCGGTTGCACTTCGTCCGCGCAGTCGCAAGGAGTTGCAAAAATTTCTGCTCGGACTGCGATGTCTTTAATACCCTGTTTCGGTCTTTTATTTTAAGTATTTTAAGTTAAGAAAAATAAAAAGCAGCGCTCTGTTTAAACTTTATGAGGAATCTGCAAATAGTAAAACGTATTTAGACCAAATAAAAGGCTGCTCTAAACCGTTAAGATTGTATCGAATTTCCTGGCAAAACATTATAAACAATAAAGTATTATAAGAAATTTTTACCAAAATAATATTAACTATAATCAGAATACAATTAATAACTAATACAATTTATTGAGTAACACTTTTTTCATCTGTCGTTTAAAAGAAAATCCATACAACTGAATACTGTTTTAATCCAGGAATTCAAAGAAGAGGTCTGCCAGTGGTTATATGATTTGTATTTGTTCATTAATTTAATCTTTATAAATCCTTGTAATTCGTTCTTAAAACATGATTTAAATGTGTTCGTGTTCGTATAGAATTCCGCAAAGCTTATCGATATAAGATAAGATAAAAAGATAGTGCGGAAAAAAAGCGAACCCGAAATAGTGAATAGCGAAAACAGTTTTTCGTTACAAAAAATACTTTAATTTGGTTTAAAAAAATCCGTAGAAGAGAAATTTCGTCGTGTCAGCGGATGCGTCGCCCGTCGGAACAGGCTATTAAGTTTGCCAATTTGGCACGATGTGGCAACTCAACAGCTGTTTTATAAAACCAGTGGGTAGCATCGAAGAAACATCGGCTCAAGTTCCAGCACTAGCTCGCGGAAAACAAAGTCACAACGACCACCAAACGGCAAAGCGGCGTATTTCGCCAGCGCAGCGTAAAAAACATTCGAAGGCACCTGTGCGCGATTAGTGCAAACGTCATTGTGAACCGAAAACATTCAAAATCTGTGAATTTTTTTGGCGGTGACAACAAAGCTCCGCATTCACACCCACAAACATGAGGCTGTTCGCAGCAGCAACAGTTGCGCTTGTATTGCTTTTGGGCCTAGCAGCTGGCGAGGAACTCACGGAGGAGAGAGCGGGACAGGAACAGGGAGATGGAGAGGTGAGTGAGCGTGTGTTGTTTTGTTATGATTCAGCAGCGCGTCTATTTCGACATCTAAACGCTTTTGCGAGGGCCAAAACCCTAACGTAATCCCCTTCAAAGTGACTAAAGCTTGAGGGCAGGAATAGCGGTTCGCCATTTGGCGGAAAATATGCAATTTTACGGTTAACTCTCACTCTCACCCAGCTTGTCCCACACACACACCTGCGCTGCCACACACCCACATCCATACTCACACACGTTCGCCATATTGGTTGATGGCCCATTGTTTGTTCTTCTTTAAGGTATAAAAACGCTTATAGATGTTTACTTAATGTACAACTTCGGTAACGCAAACCCTTATGTGTCCATAATAATCTCCAACCGAAAGTAAATAGAAATTCGGTTGATAGAAATACATATTTCAATTTTACTAACATTGTTCATAAGCTAAGAATATTTATGCTATTGCCAAAATCTCAAGTTAATACAACTTATTTGCATATATGTATGTATTAAATTATTCCCCAAAATTAATTTGTTCATCTGAAAAACTTTAATCTTTCAATATCAATTATTAAACTAAAACGATTAGTATTACAAAAAGTTGAAAAACTTTGTTTTCTGGTATTGCTAAACCTTCAGATTTTTAGTTAAAGGAAACAAAACTAAAAACTCGATTTTAAACGTTTCAAATTATGTGCAGCCACTGATTAAAGTTAAATTTTTTAATGGAATTGCCAAGAACGACCTGGTTGTGCAAATATATTCTTTGTGTTTTCTTTGTATCTCCCTTTGATAAGCTCTATTTTCCTGACTATTTTACTGCCCCACTTCCCTGGCCTGTGTTGGCCTTTGTTTACTCTGCGACGCGTCAGCTGTTTGCTTATCGCTTTGACCGATTGAAACCCATTGATTCCCCCGGTCTACGCTATTTTTGCCACAGCTCCTTATCGAAGCATTTTAATTGGCCCCTCTAGTCCGTTTAAAATTGCTTTGTGCGCTGAAATTGCGTTTTAATTTTTGCCTTTTAAGTGCATTTTCGCAAAATTGTACCCGGAATTTAAATCTCTAAAGTGAACGTCACGGCTTCCGTTGGAATTTGTTTAACCCCAGGGCACCAACTATTTTTGCATAAAAACGTAAAACTTGAAATCAACAATTTTATAACAATTTAGCCAAGAGAGAATTACGAAGGAAAAAAGTCTTCAAGGGTGAATTCATCCCTTTTCGTTTCAACCCCGAAGTTAACTTTTGTGTTCTTGATTTTTTATGTTATAACTCACTACTTACCAATATAAATTGGGGGTAAATGAATATATAAATGAATAAGAAATCTCATTTTGGTAAAGAAATGAACGGTTTCAAAAGTGTTAATAAGCACCGAGCAACTGCCCACTTGGTGCACAGATTTTCCTACTACAAATTGTTTACGTAAACAAATTTATTTGGAAAGCGATGAGTATCTCGTACGAACAATAGACTTTTATTTGCTTTTGCAAAGTCGTCTCGTTTATAGAAGTGTTTACTGTTTGCATTAATAATCCCAAAGTCAACACAGTTTGTGCGCGACTGAAACTGCGAACGTAGAAGTTAAAATTAGAAGAAACTATTTTATATAAAATACAATTTTTTAACAGATCTTGTTTTACTTAATTTGCCTTCTAATTTATATTAGAGCGTAACCCGTGACAAACTTTACGAAAAAGTCAATCGGCTGCCATAATTGATGATATCAACTTAAATAAATAATTCCGAGAAATCTTTGCAAATTTATGTGCACACCACTGCGAGAACCTGAACAGATTTCAAATTGTGATTAACTGTTCCATGATTCAGAGGGGGAACAGATTTCAATTTAAATAAATTAAATTTTCTGTTTGTGGTACTTCTGCCACAAGCCCAGCCCCTCTGCCACAAAGTAATGTGCCAGATTAATGACTGAGAGAGCACCGCCTGCTACCCCTTCAACTTCCTCCCCAGAGCCAACCTGGCTGGACTTTGGGGTGATGCCATTTGGAGCAGCGTCATCAATATCAATTAAATTGCCGGCAGCAGCGGGCAAAAACGAGAACCAGAAAAAAATCTCACAGCATTCATCATACTCCGGCGAACAAAAATATTTGTATATGCAAATAATTAAATATAACGTTAAAAAGGGTTCAACGAGTTAAAGCCACAGCGATGTGGATGGTGGGATCGCAAAGACCTGGCACTTGAATTATTTACTGGGGGCATTCCAAATGTTGAATTTTAATTTGACGCATGCCTCAATGGATGTTTTTACAATTTAAATAAGTTTAAATAAATAAATGTAAAGCGCAGATTTGGCAAGGGTCGTTAGAGTGATACCTATTTCGAAATGATTCCTTTTCTAGTTCTAATGTCGTAATATTTTAAATTAGGGCATGCCTAAAAATAATATAGCTTGAATGACTAAAAACTGGTATAATAACACAGAATTTACAACCTGAAAAACCCGATTTCTGGCAGAATATATTAATAGTTCAATAATTCAAAAAATGTTATTTTTTTTCTGCTGCATGATACGATATTTTTTGGTCCTTAGTAAAGTTACATAATCAGGTTAATTATTTTTTCCCAGGGAGTTAATATACCCGGACAAGCTGCAATTAAGGGGTAAACATAAAGGGAAAAGAAGCACAGAAACGCACGCAGAGAGACTAGAAAGAATGCACGGAACAATTTGCATAAATGAATATTATTGCGGAACTATATGCGCGGATATGGCCACACACACCAAATACATTCGCATTCGCAAATATTTATGGGTACACACGAGTATAATATGCGCGCATAATATACATATTCATTCAGTCAAGTCAGCGGCAAGACTCGCAGAAAACTGGCTGCCAACTTATGGGCCACTATTGTCTCACAAATCTCTGTCAGCTGACTGGAGTGGTCGGAGGGGTTTATGGCTGTCATTTAGGAAATCAAATCGGCTGATTCACCAACCGCAAAAACAAAGCAAAAACAAAGAAAAAAAAGATGCGATGGACGAGTCTATCGATGGCTCTGGCAGAGCAAATTCTCGGCAGTTGTCAAATGCGAATCTTCTTTCTGGCTTTTGGCTTTATGCAAATCAGCCCCTGAAAGTGCTGACTCCGCCCGTCGAAGACTCCATCCATCGATCCATCCATTTGTCTGGGCGTCCTTTGTATAATTTTGAGCATGATTTGCCGCCTAATAGAAATGCCAAAGGAAATTACGGCATTGGCCTCACTAAATGGTTTGGCCAACCCAAGACAACGAGATCCAATCACTCCCACTCCCACACCCCAAACCCCCCAGGTCCTATCTCCTCCACCAATACCCATACTCGACACAGAGGGCGCAAATTAGCACCCAGGGGAGCTGTGAAGGCAAAGTTTATAATGAGCTTGGCCAAAAGGGGGCCAATCTGTGGGTAAATGCCAGAGAGTACGGCATGTGTGCGTGTGTGTCTCCATTGTCTGATTGGAAATTTAAGCAGGCAACTCGAGTGGTGCTCCATCGGCTATATTATGGATGCATAGATCTTCGTTTCACAACCTTCACAGGATTAATTAATTGATTTTACAGTACAGTACAGGATATTTGGTCGAACCATATACTTTATTAGATAGTAGAATATCTATGCTATTATCAGCATAATTATTATAAGCATAAATCCGAATCGATTTTAGTACAATTGTTCCTCAAGGTTTAGTTTGACCTATTACATCTAGGAAGTCTTTAATTTGTGTTGGCTACACTGCCAATGAAAAAGTTAAAATCTAGCTAGTTCGGAAATCTAGCTGGTTTCATCTGTTAATTTTTGTCAGCACTGCGCACTTTTAAGGGGATGGGACGACTCGGATTGCGATGGTTAATGCATAAGCTTAAAACTATGAGTGCTTGGGGTCTGAGGTCAGGGGGGCTATCTATTGGCTGTGGGTGTGGGTTTGGTTGCCATGCCATCACGCCAATAGGGGGCGGATGGGATGGGCACTGAATCTGCAGGTGTCCTGATAGCCAGATAGCAGATAGCGCCGAACAAAGCCAATATCGTTGCAAAGATGCTTGCGTGAAGCGTGGTCGGAATTTAAAATTTCAGCTTCGGTTATTAGCCACTGCCAGATATGGAATTTCCAAATCAGCACATAAACTATACGCTCGAATGTGGTAAGCATTGTGCAGACACAATTGAAACCCCAAAAATGTTGACGTCGAGGCAAAATAAATCAATTTAAGTCAAGGCTGAAAGGGATGTAAATAAAGTACCACGCCGAAAGGATTCGTAGTCGACTTTTACAATCAAGTAATTTTGGAAAATATTTTATTTATGAACTTGAACAAGGAATATAAGACGCAGGTTTATTAATGATTTTTTAACTGGATTTTCAATTGTAGGGAAACAAAAACAGTTTATTCTTTTCTACAGACTCAATTTTTGTCAGATAGAAAAGAATTGCTTAGAATGCTTAGCTTCGTTTATTTGGCACACATTTCTTCCATTATAAAATCAAATGAATGTCACACACAATTTTATTAGAGCCCAACTGCATTTGATGTATGCCTATTTAAATTCGAGCAAAAAAGAAAAACAACTTGATTTTATTTAAAAAAAACCCACGAGGCTTATGTAAATGTGCCAGCCAAAAAGTCGCTTTATATGGGATTCGGTAAGCACAGCGGGTGCCTGAGGAAATCCCCCTGCCAAGGTTAATGCCTTTATTAACACTGAAACACGCCCAAAACGCGTGCTCCTCATCAAAGCCCGAAAGTGCGGCTTCTTCACCTTGGCCACAAGTGTGTTGCACAACAGAGATACTCAGATGCTCAGAGACCAAGATTCCGACTCAGATTCGGATTCAGCGAACTAACCCTCTGACCGCTTCAATACCATACCGGTTTTTTTTTGACTCAAAAGTGGGGTGGGATGGGAGCTGCGGATCCCCAGATCCACAAAGCCGGTCGTGCGTAAGTGGATTTCAAAATGTTAATGGGCTGCGTGGAAAAATTAAGTCACCAATGACAGAATCTCGCCGCGATGATGAGGTTGGCGCTGCATTTATTTGCACGTCGAGCGGGCCAATCGCTTTAATTAAACTTTAATTAAAAACAACACAAGCCAAATTGGCAATTTGCAGCGACTGCGCTGCGCTGCTGCTGCGACGTAACGTTTGTTCGCTGATGTTTGCGATGATTCAATTAAAGTTTTTCAACACTGCCACCAGAGCACGGCTTAATGCGCTACTCTACCCTACTCTTTTCGAAGGCTTTGCGTTTAATATTTTGCCTTCGCCGTTTACACTGGCAAATTTTGTGTTTACACGCGAGTTCAGTAAGCCACTGACTGCAACAGGAGCTTATGGTGTTGGCGCGTTGTGTTTGCGCAGATCAGGGAATTGACTGATTGATGGAAGGGGCGCCGGAAAATAAGCACGCCAAAGTACGCAAATTAAGTACACATGCAGCTGATGGAGGGAGTTGAATTAATCAGCATCTTCCCCTGTTTATTGAACTTTAAATGTGTTCGAATCTGGCTACCCAATCATAAGTTTCATAAATTATTTGCCATGGCCATGCATGCATTCTTGGGAGTTTTGCAAATGGCCTAGTTAAAAAAGCTAATTAGAATGCCACATTTCCCTCCTTCTTATTATTCCTGGGAAAGAAAATAATCCTATTATGCCACCAGCCCAAGATTATTTTTAATAGTAGTTTAGAAAGTGGCCGTACCCCCAACATTTTCAGTTTAATGGAGACAGTATCAATTACTAATAATCCGACGATGCGCTCAGTGCTGGCGAGTGCATTAAGAGGAGGCAAACGGAAACAGGCTAACGACCGACTGCGTATTGCGTAAATTGGGTACTCTTCTTTTGCCAAGGAGTTGCCAGGACGACAACTTACGAGTACCAACCAACTGGGCGTAGCGGGGAACTTAAAAACCCATCTTCGTGTTTTGGTATGGCTTGCGATGTTGTTTAAAATGCCATAAAGTTTAATTGAAAAACAAGCTCCGGCAGCTCTGTCGCTCCATGGAACCCCCCTCCATGGAACCATCGACCCCCAAAAACCCTCGAACCACCCACCCACTCCACATAATCAGCTTGAGCATCAGGCGAACATCAACGTCGCCTGCACTGACGCAACCGCTGTCAAAAGTTTTTATGCATTTTTCGGCTTTTTGTCACGACGTCAGCGGCAATGAGGATGAACGACCAAAACGTCAACAAGACGCCAAGTATTCCACATCCCGATCTGCCCGCTGACCCCATCCCATCCACAGCCAGTCGGCTGCTGTTGCTGTCAACTGCAATGCATCAGTGCAATAGCAGTAATACACTCGGGGAAATATGGAGCTAAACCACCACCACCTCCTCCAAACCCATTGTGCACTGGGGCAGACATATATCTATTGTTCAAGAAAGTAGGAGTAGCCAACTACAATACTAAACAAAGAAGTTTAAACATTCTAAAAATTTGAATTGAGAGAAGTATTAATATATATTTTTAAGACTTGAAATACTTTTAAACGTTTTAGTGAAACCCACCCATGATTTAAAAAGCGGTTTCTAATATTTTTTTCCAGTTTGATTATTAAGATACATAGGCTATGAATGGTAATATATTTAATAATACAAAGCTTTATGGTTAGATTGGTTTTAATTAGTATTTGCGCTTAACTTTCCTGAAATAAGTGCGATATATTGTAGAAGCAGTCCCCAAACATTTCTGACTTAGAAACTTTTTCAAAGGTGAAATAATATTTCAAATGTTATAATTTAGCTAAGTAATATAGAGACTAAAAAATATACATTTATCCCCCTGAGTTTTTCTCACATTCTGAAGTACTAAAAACTTGATTTCTCCAAGTGCTCAAAGCAAAGCTGAATGAATTCGAAGCTAGTTGGCTGCCTTTTTGTGATTTCCATTTTTTAAATTATTCAGCAAAATCTGTCTGCGGTCGTCTGTCGATCCATCTATCTGTCCACCGAATGTCTGTCATCGGCTTTTCGCAATTGTGTCTCATCACTTATCGATGGATTTTGCTGCTGCAATGGCCCACAAACCGGTTCGGTGTGGTCCGCATCGTTTCGTTTCAGTTTCGTTACGGCGGTTAATTAGTTTTTGTGGCCTGAAAAGCCCAGTCGAGCGTTGGCCAGTGATTGACTTGATTGGTCATCCGATGTCCCGATCCGATGCCGCAGTTTGACCGCAATTGCAGTTGCAATTATGCGGAGTTCATTAGGCTTTAGGCCCGGTTGTTCGGTCGAGCAGGTGCATAAAGACGGGAAAGGGGTTGCAGAACGATTAACTGAGCCTTTGAGGGACGGACAGACGGAAGGCAGGCCTTGCAAATGCATTCATTTATAATTAACCCCGAGTCTCCCCCTCTGCGGTAATGCCTTGCTGAATTGGAAATTAAGGGGATTTTCCCGCCACTCCACTGGTGTGACGGCTCACACCCACTCAAGCATGCTCACACAGTTCATTGGGTGTGACTTTAATTTAAAGTAATTTAATTAGGCATTCTTAAAAATCACTATTCCAAATTAGCTATATCACTTCGATAAATATTCGTACGCATTTACTCAAATTAAGAGACATGATGGATCAACAAATAATTATTAAGTTGAATAAAAATGCTAATATAACGAATTAATCATAGTTTTAAATCCTAATCCATCCTAATGGGTATTGTCAACCACTAAAGCTTGTTTCCAAGTTATTAGGTTTTTTTTTATATGTTTAACATTTGATAGAATTAATTGTATATTGACTGCTACCAACATTTGTAAAAAAAAAAAAAAAAAAAAAAAACATGTAGGTCAACTGGTTTAAATTTGTTGGTCGCACTGACGCGCTTGGTCACACTGAATCGCTTGGTCGCACTGAATCGCTTGGTCACACACTAACCCCACGGCTTGGCTTGCTCCATTCGACCACACCACTCATTCCCTTGCGAACACTCCCCACTAACCACAACCCGGAATCCGGATCAACCACGTCTGCCGCACCTCAGACCGAAATCTCTTTGTGTGTATCCTCATATGTGTTTTGTTTCTGTTTCGTCCTTCCACAACACACCAATCCCCAAACACCCAAACCCGTAAACCTCCCGAAACCCGAATGAACAGAGCGCGGGAACCGCCGAAACGACTACGGATCAGGCGGTGAGTGAGCCGCCGATCCAGCTGGTCCATGTCCTGAATCCCGGCGAGCGGGAATACCTCTCCCCCAACCTGATCGGCGTGCAGAACATAGCCATGACCTTCCTGCCGCTGTCGATGAACTTCCTGAACGTCATCGACGCCTACCGGGAGATCACTGCCGGGGTGCGCTACGAGATCCTGCTGAACGCGCTGGACACGAAGGCTAAGCCTCCGGCGGAGGCGGACATCATCTGCCGGCTGGTCGTCCTGGAGAAGCCCTGGCTGCGCACCCAGTGGGGCGACAAGCACCGCGAGCTGGTCACCTCCAACTGCACGGACTCCGAGGAGAACGCGGTGGCCGGGGATCCGGATCGGGCGGAGAAGGCTCGCCGGCTCAACGAGAAATACGTGAGTAACAGCATCTTCAACGGCGGCCAGAGGAACGAGCTGAGCGACGCCGAGATGGCCAATCTGGAGTCCCAGATTCTGACTAACCTGGCTCCCGCGAGGCGGAAGGTCAGCCCCAGTCAGTCCGCTCCTGCTGCCGCATCTCCCCCTGCTGACTCTGCGGCTCCTGTTGCCATGACCGCTACCATAACGGTCACCAAGCTCAGTCCACCTGAAGTCACTAATGAGACCGCCTCGGCAATTAGCACTGATGAGGCGGAAAAAAAGGAGGTCGAGCCCGAACCCGAACCCAAGAAGGAGGTGGAGGTGGAGGAGGAGGGTCTTACCTCCACCACAATCGCCACAGAGCTGAACGATAATGAGAAGCGTTGGCTCGACGACTTTCTATCGGTGGGTGCGTATAACTTTGAAAAGAGCCAGGAGAAGGGGCATCAGCAGCAGCAGGAGCAGCAGCAGGAGGAGATTGCTCAGGAGCAGAAGGAGCCCGAGGTGGAGGCTACTACCATACCAACAGCATCATCATGAATATTCCTATCGTCATCATCCCCAGCACACACATCCATCCACCATCCTCGACTGTCTCTGTCTTTTCCCCATAAATACTCTTTATACGTACTCACCTTAATGCGAACAATAAAAAAGGAAAATGTTATTTAATTGAATTTATTTAAGCTTGCCTTTTCACCTGATGCCGATGATAATGATGATGATGAGGAGGAGGAGGAGGAAGGTAGATGGGTGGGTGGTTTTCTCGGGGGGATTCCTCGCTTCAGCACCTCCGCAAAACACTTATTTCACCTTAATAATCAAATGAGTTTCCGCTCTCAAATTACGGCCGCAATCTGTTTAACCCGGCCGTATCTTAGCCGAGTTCGTAGCACCTGGGACGGGGCCATCTGCGCCTGTCTATGCGTCTTGGGGAGCCCAAGTGCCGCTCTGTTTGGAGGGCTAAGTGGACCCCCGTCCTGCTGCCACGCCCACGGTGACGACAGGGGCAGAAACACACACACCCACACACACACAGAGAGTGCGAGGCAAGTGTTCTCATTATCCTCGTGCTCTACTTTTCACAGCGGTTGACTCTGTGGTGCCACCACGCACAGTGGGTCGAAGCCGATTTGTCTCCGGGCGGCCACTTTCCACTTTCCACCCGACTTAACCCACAGAGCATAGGGGTCAAGTAACCGGCGACAGAATCTGCAGTTTTAATGGTGGCAACGCTTCTTTGGAAATTGCTTTTCCCATCTGCAAGCCGTTAATGCAATTGCTTTTCCCTTACATTTAGCGTTTGTTCAAATGATTGGAAAAATAATTGAACAATCGAAGGGGGATAATAAACCTTTTGCAAACTTTGTGGCCTCCCAGTAGAACCCATCTGCCATTAAAAATTAATCGCTACCATTCATTTTCAATTTTCTAATTGGCAAGGTAAAGCGCAAAGGTATGCCACCAATATTACCCAAAGATGGTTTGAAATATAAGACTAGAAAGGTTTTTCAAAACGTATTGATTGCTAATGTTGAAAACTATATTATCATTTCATCTTAAAAAGTTATTTATATAACTAAAAATCAATACTGTAAGAACTCTACTCTCCCATTGATAAAAGTATCAATTACTCAGTTTAAAACCCTACTCATAACCCTTGGGAAAATTAATTAAAATTTGATGTTAATAATTTCATTCAACCTGTGTCGGACACGTTCAACAATCGGAAATCCCTTTTCCAGAATTATTTCCAACTCATGTGAGCTGCCTAATGAGCTTTTGAAAAAAATCGACGCAGAATAAATTAATTAAGTGCTTTGAAATCGAGAGCCATTCAGTTGCAATGCTGATTTGCGCCAAATGTCAGCAAGTATAGAGTCGCGCTCAGCACTTGACTGTCAGTATAACCGAATGGATTTCACGGACCATTGCACACAGCTCCCTCCCGGAGGAGCCGCCCACTCTGTCCCCGGAACCACTGTGCCCCCAGGGTCGTTGAAACATCATTTACGTTATAATTCTTATTGAAATACACATTTGAATTAACAGCTCCCTGTTAGGCGTGGGTAAATTGAAGGGGATGGGTGCTGTTGGGCTGGATAGTGGGCCACTCCCACCAAGAGTTGGGGAGGGGGCGGGGCTGGCAGCTTAATGAATTCATGTTCGGACACAGGCCGCACACATCGAAAAGGATGGCCTGGGACTCCCATCGGAACACGGCTAGGCTGCTCTTTCTTTTTGTGTTCCTGTATTTTTAATTATACACACGTCGTAGCCATTACATTCCGTTCGGTATTGTTGTCGCTGCTAGATGACCTATGACCTGCACTTAAACAACTTTTCGACTGCATATTCGGGTTGAAATGCAGTTTTTTTCAGAACTATTAGAAAGTGCCAAATGCAATAACTAATGTGTGCTTAATAAGCTCAATATTTCAGTAGAACAAATTGTAAATCGCTGTGAATGCCTATAAATATTCTTCGAAAATAGTGTAAATCAGTGTTGGAATGCGTAAAAAAAACTTTAAATATCTATTTGCCTCAACTGTACTAAAAATTGTATCTCAGTTTGCTCAACAATAGAAAGTTCGCAGTCGAAGTAAGACTTGAAAAATTATGTTTGGTGCATTATTTATATCTGTTTAAATATTTTTTTGAGTTAATATATTTTATCCAGTTAAAAAGAAGCTACATTTGTGGTAAATTTGCAAATGTAGTAAAAAGTAACAAAAATGTTAGGCTTGGCTTTTTAAGATAAACAAATGTGACCTCCTTGTTTGCCCAATTTCTGCGCTGTTTTGATCATTTGTGGGCCATAAAATGTTTCAAGTGTGACTCCACCTGCAGTGCTCATTCACATTCGTCCTGTCAGTTTGGCTGGCTGCGTCAGCAGGAGCAGACATTTGGCTCCTGCCTGGGGCTGGGGCTGCGGCTCCTGGCTGTCCCGAATCCGATCCCGCATTCGTGTCCGTGTCCGTGTCCGGATACTGAGACACCAAGTCCCATCATCGGCGTCAACGTATCAGCATCATCGATGCCAGCCGGCAAACGAATATCCAGCCAAAATGTTTGGTTTAATTGGTTTTGTGTTCGGCATTGAATGCTTTATGGGCCGCATGTGACTGCCTGCCGGTGTTATTGTTGGCCTATTCCACAACTGGCGATGGCGAGGGGATGCCTTTTGGGGCTCCGTGTTTTCTTGCCGCAACTCTTCCAGCCACGTGTAGCAATACGGACGGGTGTGTGTTTCTGTCAATTTCGGTAATGTAAATTCTGACATGTCCTTGTTTCATTTGCATTCCCTGTGTTATTTATGTGCCACTCCCGCAGAGTCCCCCTCCATCATCTCCATCTCCACTCCTTTGGGTCGGAGGTCGATGTGGTGACAGCTGCGTGTCTGTTTGTAATGGATAAGTGTTTCCGTGTTGCGTAATTAGCACAAGATTAACGAACTCTCAGAAAGCAGACAAAATGCTGATTTGTTTTGGCTTTTGCCTTTTGCCTTTCCCTCGGCGACGCTTTTGCTGGGGATACTTGAAAAAAGTTGTGGGAAATTCTCTTCTCATTTAGCTGGGCTATAGGAAATAATTACGAATATTGCTAATAACGATAATTTGTTTGGTTAAATAACGAAAAACAAACTAATTAGAACACAATGTTTAAAGTATAAATAAACATTGTTTTTTTATCTCATGGTTAAATGTTGTTTTAAAGCAATGAACCGCAAATTTAGATGGTAAATAAAATAAATTATAATCACCCAGTTTAAAGAAACAATTTTATTATTTGAAACTTTACAAATTACCGTTTTTTTACACTAGAGTAAAACAATTTTAAAACTCAATTTGGTACAGTCGAATACCGATAATTCGTACCCCGATAAATCGAAAATCGCGATAATTCGTAAAAAATTCTGTTCCCTTGAAAAAAATCTCGATAAATCGAATTCCCGCCTAATTCGTAAAAAAAAGTGATCCCCTTGCCATTTCGAATTATCGGGACTCGACTGTATCTCGACTGTGTTTTGTTCTAGAAGTATTTCATATCCTAGTAGGGCAGCAACAAAGCTGTCACTATCTTTCGGGTTAAACTACAAATTTTACTCGGCATTACTCGTTAGACTCGACTGGAGCCGCCTTGTCAAATACTTTTTCTAGCATTTTATAAGGTGCGTAGTTTGGTAATATTCCCTCAAAATCTAACTCAAACCGCACGATTAGACAACCTTTTCACGATGAAGCAATTCGCGTTGACGACCTGCATCCGCCGCATTTGGGTCATGTCCGCTTGGCTGCGGCAGGAGGCGGCCATCGCTGCCGGCATGCTGGTGGTGCAACGCCACCAGGTCGAGCTGAAGGAGGAGGCGGAGGAGCTCAAGGTCGAGCAGCAGGTGGCGTCCAGTGACGGCGAGGTGGGCGTCGACTCCCAGGGAAGACTCCGCCGCGTGCGCCTGCTCGAGGACTACATCCTGCCCTTCGAATGCGGCCTGTGATCCCGAGTCCGTAATTCTCCTCCGATCTGGTTATCCTTGAGTTAGTTGGTTCCTCTTCTTGGCGTGCCCTACTGTACGCGCTTCCAAATTGATGTGTGCACCCACTGGACTCGGACACTCCACCTGGACGGACACGGGCACTTCATTGATATTTTATTGCGTAAAATTGTTGAAACGATTCCCAGCTTTTAGACAAATCCTATTTTGTGTAGGATCGTGACTTTTAAAAACATTTCGCGTTCAAAACTGTATTTTTTCAAATTTCAAATTAAACAACTAATGGTGTCTTAATCATACAATTTGGCAAGTTTCAACAGAATGTATAAGTGTTGGGTTGATTTTGGGGAAATATGTGGGCAGTGGCGGATGCAGGATTTCGTTGTAGGGAGGGATACCGACAATTTTTTTTATTTTCATAAGCGTTAAACAAGCAGTCTTTGGTAGAAATACTCATAAAAAAAAAAAAAAAAAAAAAATGCAAACACTTTTAAAAACTGTTGTATTCAATGTGCTTTCCCATCTTAAGTGACATTTTTATTTTATTTTTACAGACTCTGCGCAGGAGACGCAGCGTTAACGACATCTTCGTGGGAGAACATAAGCCCTATGATGAGGAGGCGGCGAAGGCGCAACTGCAACGGTCCCTCGACAAACTAACCGAGGGGGAAGGTCCCCATTACAAGTAAGTGGTTATTAAAAGTTTAAAGACCAGACATCCTAAGATGTTGTTGGGAATTAAAAAGAAAAGGGAATTAGAAAGGAAACTTGGTTCAATAGATTCTCTCTTTCAGGATTGTAAAGGTCTACTCAGCCTCTCGGCAGATGGTGTCCGGCACTCTGACCCGCATCGACGCAGACCTGATCGACGGGTCCAAGTCGCAGCACCGCTGCATCGTGGAGATCTGGGCGCAACCGTGGTTGGCGCAGGGACACGAACTCACCTTCAAGTGCCGCAACCAACCAGTGGTGAAGGCCCGCCACAGCCGCTCCGTGGAGTGGGCCGAGAAGAAGACGCACAAGAAGCACAGCCACCGGGCGCTGGACAAGGTGGAGCACCTGTTCCACAAGTTCCAGGTGCGATTTGGCCGCCGCTACGTGAGCACCGCCGAACGGCAGATGCGCCTGCGCATCTTCCGCCAGAACATGAAGACCATCGAGGAGCTGAACGCCAACGAGATGGGCAGCGCCAAGTACGGCATCACGGAGTTCGCGGACATGACCAGCACGGAGTACAAGGAGCGCACGGGTCTGTGGCAGCGGGACGAGGCCAAGGCCACCGGCGGATCCCCGGCCGTGGTGCCGCCCTACTCCGGCGAACTGCCCAAGGAGTTCGACTGGCGGCAGAAGAACGTCGTCACCCAGGTGAAGAACCAGGGCTCGTGCGGCTCCTGCTGGGCCTTCAGTGTGACGGGCAACATCGAGGGTCTGTACGCGGTGAAGAACGGCGAGCTGAAGGAGTTCTCCGAGCAGGAGCTGCTCGACTGTGATACCACGGACAGTGCTTGCAACGGTGGCCTCATGGACAACGCCTACAAGTAAGTGGCGAACCAGAGAAGTGACTGTTATCACTCTTTAACTAATGTTCCCCTTGCAGAGCTATCAAGGATATCGGCGGCCTGGAGTACGAGGCCGAGTATCCCTACAAGGCCAAGAAGAACCAGTGCCACTTCAACAAGACCCTGTCGCACGTCCAGGTCGCCGGCTTTGTGGACCTGCCCAAGGGCAACGAGACCGCCATGCAGGAGTGGCTGCTGACCAACGGACCCATCTCGATTGGTAAGGCCAAGACATAGAGAATTTATAGGTCTTCTCTCTAATGAACCCATCTTTTTAGGCATCAACGCCAACGCCATGCAGTTCTACCGCGGGGGCGTCTCGCATCCCTGGAAGGCACTGTGCTCCAAGAAGAACCTCGACCACGGCGTGCTGGTGGTGGGCTACGGCGTCTCCGACTACCCCAACTTCCACAAGACCCTGCCGTACTGGATCGTGAAGAACTCGTGGGGTCCGCGCTGGGGAGAGCAGGGCTACTACCGCGTCTACCGCGGCGACAACACCTGCGGCGTCAGCGAGATGGCCACCTCGGCTGTGCTCGCCTAGACTTGTTTGAGTCCATCTTATATACACACATACGACTATATCTAGGCTAATTCTTCAGACAGTAACTTTGTGTACAATTCCGTTTCTATGTTCTCCAGCCGACGCGACGAGGAAGTCGTTAAGTTTTTGAGCTTCGCATATACAGTATAATCATTTTGGACATCTGTAATCTCACGAAAAGGTCTGCATCCACATATTCTGCTTTAAATCGAAATAACAATAAATTGTACAAGAATTAAATCACATCAGCTTTTCACTCGGGGTCACTCAATCGATTCCAGCCTTGGTCACAGCAACAGTTGGTCATTGGACAGTGGGGCAAGGCTTGAAAAACTATTTGTGTTCAAAAGGGGGGAGGACTGTATAGGAGTAGTTTTAACTGATTTTAGTTTAATTTTGAATTTTTCCAAATTAGAACTGAAACAAATGAATTAAACTAACAAAATAATTTCGACTTTAATAAGATTTTACGTATTTGCTACTTTTTAGTTTTTTCAATTACCCTCTTTAGATATTTCCGAAAATATTATATTATAATATTATAAATGAAATATCAAGCTTAAAAATCAAAAGTTCACAAGTTTTGTATCTAATACAGAAAGTATAATACTGCTAACAAAAAGTTCCTATTTCCGCTTCTGCAGCTTTCAATCATGTGAGATTAAACCCAACCTCACTGTGCAGAAGTGCAATATGCTAATTAGATTTAGACCAGGGCCGCCGCCCCGTTGGAAGCCCCACACAAAGAGTGGGTTTCTGGCGCAGAACGGGCTCGACTCAGTAGCAGCTTGGAACGCGTCGCGGTTGGAGAACGGAGCAATGGCCATGGACGACTACGACGATGACAGTGGGTGAGTCCAGGACGAAAGGATGCAGAGAGTAAATTCCGTACCCTCCGCACTTCCCAGTGAGCAGCGTGGGCGTGACCACGGCCCGGATCGAGAGCCAGCACCAGCAGCAGGGTCACCACGGCGGACACCACCAGCAGGGCCAGAGCCAGTACAGCGCCGGGGCGGTGAAGGTGGGCGGGTGGCGCTACGAGGACGCCAGTCGCTACATCGGCGAGTGGAACCAACGTGGCCAGAAGCACGGCATCGGGCATCTGCAGTTCGCCGACGGCACCCGCTACGATGGCCAGTTCCAGGAGGGACTCAGCCAAGGAGTGGGCTGCCTGTGGTTCGCGGATGGCGCAAAGTCAGTTTCCATAACGCCAAGGATGCAAACCTTCGGGGAGGGAATCTATGCCTATTTGGGTTTAGTATCGCTGCTGTTGAGCATTAATATAAATGTTTCAACATTTCGATTCGGTCCGTTCTTCATTTACTAATACCCATTTTAAAGTTGATCTTTTAAGATATTTCGTTAATGATATAATTTGATATTATTGATATTATTTTTGCTCGTACTACAAACGTTACATTTAGTAAGACTTCCCCAACCTAAAAGTTGGTTTGCATCCGATGGGAACCCTTTCATATATGATATAACATTTTTCCTATCTCGGAACCAGATACGAAGGCGAATTCCACCAGGGTTGGTTTCATGGCCATGGGATCTTCTGGCGCGCTGACGGCATGAAGTACGAGGGAGAGTTTCGCGGAGGCAAGATCTGGGGCCTGGGATTGCTGACATTCCAGGACTTCACGCACGGCTTTCCCAGAAACGAGGGATTCTTCCAAGACTGCCGCTTCATGAGACGGCGTCGATGTCCCGAGGTGGTGCAGCGGGCCCAGAAGTGTGCTCTTATGGCCCGTTCCCAGTGCGAACATCCCTACTGAACAGATGAATCAAATACTTAATGGGTGGATCTTGAACACAAAATATTGAAACACTTCCGTTGACATCTTCTCTACCACAAATCTATTACAACTGAAAGTTATTTAATCGGAAACCAAAAAATAATTAAATATTTTAGTACTTGGTACTTAATACTTGCTTTCAAGCCTATAGACATTTCATTTTAAAAGAGAGCCCTTTACGCAGTTGAAGTTTGGAAGTGGAAAATGTCCAAGCGGTAAACCAGAAAACCCATTGTTTAATTTCTTTTTTAATAAAAGTGTAAAAAAATAATATAAAATGGTTATATTATCTCACTTATTACCCTACAACCTTTAAGCCTATGCCTTGTTTTAAACTATCCAAAGTCGCAAGCCGCCTTATAACTCTTTTTCAAACCTCAATAAAAACAGCAATAAATGTATGAATGTAAGTCCTAGAATTTGTGCGTTTGCTTATTGGCTTTAAAGTGTTAACAACAATGGTATTGTTTCTTGGCTAATTCCCGCTGGGTGCGCCAACCAGGTACCAGGCGTTCCTGGCCTTGACCGCCGTGTTTCGCACCAGTCGCTTGGGATCATCCAAGGCCGCAGCCAGAGCCAGTGTAACATCCACTTTGTGGGGCAGCAGGACGAAGGTGGGATACTTGGTAATGTCGTACAGCAACTGCAGAGCAGCAATGCGAACTTGCTGTAAATAGAAAATATATTAAAATATTTACCAAATTAGATCTTTTGAATCACTTACCATTGTGTGCTGTGCCTTGTATTTCGATAGCTCCAGGCAACTCGGTATGAGGTGAGCCAAGTGTCCCTGGAAGTAAGCGTCCTGCTGAGCCACAAACTTTTCGCAAATTCCTAGCGCAATGCACAACGACTGCGCCTCGTTGTGCTCTTCTAGGCTTTTGAAGAGCAGCGGACCCAGCTGCTCGATGTTCAGCTTTATCACTGCCTGCGGCGTGGCCTTCAGTACGTAGACGAAAGCCTTCAGGTGGTGCACACAGTAATTGGCCAGCTTGCTGCCCATCTTGCCCATGATGGTGTGGAAGAGCTTCTGCTTGTACAGGAACTTTACCACGGGCAAATCCAGTTCCGGGTACTCGGCAGCAATGATGTCGAATCCCAAAGCAGCGGCCGTGCTTAATGTGGGATGCTTGAGCAGATCAGAGAGCTGAGACGAAAGGCAATGTAGTTAATATTATTAACATAACTATTCCATCAGTACTCACATCGCCAACAATGTCGGCAGCCTCATCGAACCCAGCGACCACCAGCCCCTTTGCCACCCAGGCAAGGATCTCCACGGCACGCACATCGCCCTTCTTGATGGCCACCTTTAGCTGCTCCGTGATCTTCTTGACCTTGCCCAAGTTGGCTGGGTTGCTCTCCATCTTGTTGACCATACTGCAGAGCAGGTGGTGAGCGATCACACGCAGCTGTTCGTTGTCCGAGCTGAGAGAGAGCTGGGTTAAATCGCTCAGCAGCCGCTCGAAGTGGTCGTCCAAAGTGATGCCTTTATCCAGGTACCCCAACAGGCCCTTGGTAATGTACAGATCGGCAGAAAGGCTTAGGTTGAGTCCGGGAAGGTACTCGCTCACAATCGCACTCTGTTCGGAGAGGGGCAGTTGCTGGGTGATCCGACTCAAGGCGCCCGCAATCTGTTCCAGCGACTGCAGTGACAGACCTTGCGTGTGCTGGCCCAACTCGATGAGTTTGTGCAGCAGATTGGACTCCTGCTGCAAGTCCACAATGAAGCGTTGGTCCTCCATGAGGAGCAGTTTGTTCAGCGCTTCAAGGGCCAGCAATCGAATAGGTTCCTCCGTTGTGTCCTTGAATGACTGTGTCATAATCAGGTCCAAAATGCGTTGGGTAAACGCCATTTGAGGCATAAGGGGCAACAGGTTCGTGTAAATCTTCCGCTTGACAAAGTTGGAGAAGATTTCAAAGTTGCGCACGCAGACGTCGATGAAGTTTGACTGCATTTCCACTGGCTGCAGAGCTCCCAAACTGACAGTGAGTGTGGTGAATTCCAGATCAATGGACGGATGACTAATCAGTTGAACCAGCGCTTTGTACACCAAAGCTCGCTGCTTCTCGCTTAGAACCGGAGCACTTTCGTTGAGCACGGAAAGCGCTGCCTTCTGCAGCTCGAGATCTTCCTGCTTGGCATCGAAATCATCCTTTTCGATTAGTCGCAAAGAGGCGATCACATCATCCTGCAAGGCCTCACGTATCGTGGTGTCCAGTTTTTGTAAGGAATCACGCAAAGCGGACAGCTTGTAAACCTGGCTGACTATGTGGTAGATCTTGATCCGCTGATCTGGTCCAATGTCGGTGGCTTGCAGCTTGATCAGAAAACTGTTGAGGATCTTGTCCGCTGCATAGGGTGCGTCTCCCGACACGCAAACCAAGGCAATACCGGTGGCAGGATGGAACAGGCGCTGATTGACATCGCTGAGGTGTGGCAGGATTACTCCTAGAATGGAGCTCTGGTAGCTGTGGCTTATGTCGGGAACGCGGGAAGCTCTCTCCAGAAGCGCAGACAAGGCCTTGAGTGAAGCCTTTAGGATTTCCTCATTGTCGTTTCCGGGAAAGGTCTCCGCCTTAAGAGCCTGCCAAATCTGATCGAAGTGTGGCTCCAAAACGGAGGGCGGGAACTTCAAGGCAGCTTGGTGCTGTTGGTGCAAAAGTAATTAACAATCATTACAAATAGGAGTTTTAAGTTTAAAATTTCTTGCCAGCAATTCTATGGAGTCCAGTTTGGCTACCAGCAACTCGCTCTCCAGCTTCTCTATGGCCAGCACCACTGTGCCCTCCGCGAACTCGTTGTTGGCTACCAGGCAGTTGGTCAACTTCGAAGCCAATTCATCGCGCGTTATAGCCGCTGGATCCTGTTTGCTGGGATTGAAGTCGATCGGAAAGTAACAGGCGAAGATCTCAAACATTTCTTCGGCCAAATGCAGTAGTGGATACGTAGACAAAAATTCAGGCATGAAGCTGAAAATAATGTCAAGATTGCGGGGATCACGCTCGCCGTCAATGGAGTTGATCAGGCCGTAGAGAAAATCACCGGCCATCGTCTGGAGCTCTGCAAAAAAATAATAATTAGGGTAAGTTTATGTTTTGGTTATTCTTTTTCATTGTGCATAAAATACATTTATCTAGTTAAAAGCCTGTCGATACAAATATGCGTAAAATTTTGCTGATTTCATCGTTTAGCTTTAAGGCTTTGTTTTGTCAAGCAAACAGATAACTATTTTAGGCTTAAAGATAATTATATAAATGGAAATGTGGTCACAGTTGACAATGTCGAGGCTGACTAACATTTTTTGGTTGCAACTAGGGGGTATGTAAATTATATATAAGCATTATTTGCACAATAAAATAAAAACTTCATTAACACAAATCTTTTTCAAACCAATGTCAGCGGAAAAAAGTGGGTGAATGTTTTATAAAACCAAACATTGCAATGCATCATTTATAAATTCCCGATATGGGAAGAAACAATGGCCTCACCCTTTTTGAAGTTGGTCGTCAGGTACTGGAACATGTTAAACAGCTTGGTGCGATCACCCCGCGTCTGTGACTGGCAGGTCGTAAGCTCGAAGAAAGACTGCAGGATCTTGGGTACCTGCGCTGGTGGCAGAGCCTTCATGTGGACCAGGGCATCGATGCCGTCGATGATGGCTGGCATAACATTGTGGTGGTCGCGCAGCCTGTCCATGTAGAAGGCGCTGAGGAACTCTAGCTGGCGCTCCTGGAGTAGATCTGTCGGCAGTGCAACCAGCACGGCGGACAAAAGATTGGTACCGGCCACCCGTTCCTCCATGTCCGGGGAGGAAAGGGCAAAGCCCAGCTCCTCGGCTAAGGCGGATATGTCATACGCCTTGGAGGTCAGGTCTGAAACAAAGGAGTCTCTGTGAGAACGGTCGGTCTGTTGAAGATGCAGATGGGAACCTGCCCGTGGCAATCTGGGTGGCGGCCTTTAGGAGCTTTTGGTCGCTCTTCAGGGCCTTCTCCAGGGTGGCGCGCGTGGGCGTTGTCATTTCGGGCGCCGTCGCTAGCGAGGTGTCTAAATTTAATATGTGTTTAAGCACGTTAAGCCGAAATGTTAAGAACCGATAACCGATGACTTGCCGTCTTATCTATAACGCGGCGTTGCCAGATCTTTGCTGTGCTAGTGCAGCTGGAACGGAGGTTTTTGCGATGTAGCTATGAGAAAATGGATTTTAATATTAAATATATGTTTCGGTATACTACTTGTTTTAATTTATAACAATAAGCATTTTAATCGAAATCAAAAGCTATGGACAACATTTCACTGATTTATTATTGATCCTTCGAAAGATTGATAACTTGTCGATGAATTTTTTATGAATAAATAGGATTGTAAGAAAACCACGAATATATAGGTTGTAGGCTATATTCATTTGTATGGGCGGGTTGAGAAAATTTTCATCATTATTAAAGAAGTCTTTTTAATGCTTGTTCGATGATTGAGGTGTAAAAAGAACTGGGAGTATCGATGAGAGCCGACTGTTGCTCGACTTAAAAGCAACAGGGTGCCCACAAAAGTCAGCTAATGTATCGATGAACGACATCTGCGCTTGTCACTAGCCCACGCACATCACTAGTATTACAAACACAGGCAGCAGCAGTTTATTTTAGCTACCGCAGCGCCTTAAAATTAAAACTAAGAAGTTTTCGCATTATTTTTGCGCTTGGAACGCCGCGTAACAAAGATAGTACACTAATGTCCATAACCGTAAGTCGGCCGCCTTTCGAGTCGCGCAGTGGTTGCTCTAGTAGATGGTGCGGGTGCGAAACGTCAGCGTTGTTGTTGCTGCAGCTGCAGACGCCCCCACGTAGCTGGAAATGAAAAGAAAATTAAATGTGGCCAAGTGCCGATTGCAATGTGCAGTTTGCAGTCTCCAAAGGCTTTCAATTAACTCAAAATCTATTTAAAACGCATTATTTCCCCATTGTGCGCGCCTCTGAGAGTGTAGTGTGTGTGTGTGCCGCTGAAACCCGAGCTCTATGTGCGTGTGTGTGTGCGAGCGTTAATTTTGTTGTTGTTTTATTTTTTTTTTGTTTTTTGCATACGACGATTCGAGTTGAAAGAATTATTCAAAGCCAACAAGGTCGGGCGCCTTATTTGGCTTATAATAATTTTATACATTTTCCAATCGGCATTTTTGGCCCACGTCCCGCCTTGGAAGCGGAATTGAAAATGGGAGCGCGTTGAGTTTAAATTTGGTGACAAGTCGGCGGCTGTGTGCTTTATAATTTATAATTAGCAGCGCACTTGGGTCGTTGCCACTGGTCTGCTATTATTTGCAATTGTCGCCAGGTTCTCCTCCTTGTTGATTTTTATCGCTTACGAGGCTCACTTTCCATTTTGACCTGCAAGGCGAGTGAGTGAGTGACGAAGCCGCTTCCGTTCTATTGTTCCCCGCCAGTCGGAGAAACTCACGCACTCGAACGCTTTAATTGGAACTAATCTCTGTCTCTCGTTTTTGGCCACAATGACGACAACCTGTTCCGATCGCCAGTTACTGCGAGGTGGCAAGCAAAAGACAACCACTTGCGTAGGAATGACCGTAATGGCCAAGACTACGATCGAAGAAATATGCGAGAATGCCAAATTAGCGCGGGACATGGCTCTGACGGGCAACTACGACTCGGCCTGCATCTACTACGAGGGCCTCCAGGGGCTGCTCGCCCGCCAGCTTAAGGCTACCGCGGATCCGCTGCGGAAGGGCAAGTGGAACATGGTAAGTAGTCCGCACAATTATGCTCACTTCCACCGCCCCCAAAAATGGAAAATTTGTGGTTGTGAAGGAAAGGTATATGAGTCAATCATCACATCCACCTAAAAGTAAAGCAACAGCAAACAAATTACCATATACTTCTAGGTGTCATACAAATTGATTAGTCAGTGAAATAAATCGACCTTATTCCCATAAACGTCCCAATGAAATTTGGTATAAGAAAGTAGGTTTATCTAAAAACACGGTAGAAGTTAGGAGAAACGTTTGTTACTCTGAAAACTGTCTGACAGATTCATTGAATACCTTAATAGATGTCATTGCAATATTATGCGTTGTCCTATCGGAAAATTAACTTAAATTGATAATAACAATATTGTAAGAATACGTGTGCTTATCCATGTACAGGTCATAAAGTTAAAACAAAAACTGGCTTAAATAAACGATGTTTTCTCTATTGAACCTCATTGTTCCAAGCCAACTATAAAAGGTAGTCTTACTTTCACAGAACTTAACAAATTTTCTGAAAATTCATTAGAAATCACGATTCAAGGTTGCCGCCTATCTTACCAGTAGAAAAAGTATTTGAATAGACTTAAACAAGCACAACATTAAAAAATAACTTACAATAACAATAACAATAACAATATTATGCTCAAATTCATTATAAGATTTCAGTTCTTATATTTTAAGTATTTGAAATTTTCCCATATTGAGCATATATGTAAAGGCTGCAAAGCTCAAACGATTTTTAAACTTTATTAATTTTTTTTCATTGCCAGGCGGTGATTATTTAGAAAATTCCCTACGCTGTTACTTAGATAAAATATTAAGACTGGACAACATGCACAGTTTAATTTTAACAAATATTCTACCGGCAACAATCCTCATATTACCTGTACATTTTCGCTACACTTTCAGATCAACCAGCAGATTAGTCAGGAGCACGCCAAGATCAAGGCCATCCAGCGCACCCTGCAAGACATCTCGCTCGACCTGCAGACCACCAAGTTCGCCCACAAGCTACGGCATCAGCTCAGCGAGGAGAGCACCACCAGCAAAGATCCATCCGCTTGGTTCAAGCCGGACCCCGACATTTGGACGCCACCGCCCAAGGATCCCGATGTGTGGGGTCCGCCGAAACCACCACCCACCACACAGGCCGTGGGCCGACGAGCCGCACCGAACAACCGCCGCACCACCACGGCAACTCAGAACAGCCGCCCCAGCAGCACAATCCCACAGAGCACTGCCCGCAATGGTCCGGCCTCGACACGCAACTCCCGCAACTCCACGTCGGCCGCAGCAGCAAGCAGCGGGGCACGCGCCACCAACGGACGGGCGGGTGGCCGCAAGCTGTCCACATCGAACAACTCCAGCGAGGCCAGGGACGAGGACTCCGCCGCTGCAGGCAGCAATGGCGGAGGAGCCGCCGGCGAGGGGGAGAACGGCGATCCACAAGCCGCCCAGGAGGAGGAGCGCAAGTTCCAGCCCAACAACCACATCGAAGCCGAGCTAGTCGACATTCTTGGTAAGCGGTTCAAGATGCAAAACTATCTGGGAACGTTATCAAGGTTTACGTATTTGAATACACATCTTCTGGACACTTGGTTTATAGTAAAAGGAATTTAAATCTGTTAATAAGTCAGAATTTGAAGAGCTGGGAACGCGATCTTTATAACCATAACCAAATAGTCATAACCCTTATAGCCGTTTTATATAAGAAACCCCAACTCATAAAGTCCCCTCATTTTAGAACGTGATATTCTTCAAAAGGATCCGAAAGTGCGCTGGAGCGACATCGCCGACCTGCACGACGCCAAGCGGCTGCTGGAGGAGGCCGTCGTGCTGCCCATGCTCATGCCGGACTACTTCAAGGTGCGTCACCGCCGTAGTTTATTTACTCTGAATCACACTCTGCCGGAGGCTTATCTGTACGACCGGTGTTGGGTCAACAAACCCGCTTTATTTTAGTGCTGTGTTTGCCAAGCTCAGGGCTCTATATATTTAGTCAACTTTATGAGCAGCCACTAAATGACACGTTTTGCATCTTCATTACTCGAAACTAGGTGTCCAATTTGTTAACTTTCGACGCAAAAACCTTTTGTCAGTCTAATTCGTTATTACTCAGAGTTGTCTGAATGTCCATTTAACATTATGTGTCGATTACCAACAAAAACAAAGAAAAACTTTCCATTGGGAATAGTAACACTTGCAATTCCTTCCAATAACTTCCAATTACAAAACGAACTTCCCTGGAAAGTAAGTAAGCACCTTTCCATACTGAATGGAACTGCAAAAATTTCTGTTAACCAGTGCCATGAATTCATTTCTATGCTGGTTATCTTATCTGCACACGGTTGTTTTTAAATTTATATCAATTATGAACTGTCAAACGAATTTGTTTATATGTATAAATGGCGAGAACGATTGCTCTTTTATACCCTTACAGGGGGTACTTAATTTTAGTCGAAAGTTTGCAACGCAATAAAAAGACTCTTCCAACCCCATAAAGCTTATACATATTTACTTGATGAGCGTTACCATCTGAATCGTTCTAGGCATCTATCCGTTTGTCCGTTTCTAAGTAAGCTCATCTCTCAGTTTAAAGTTTAAAGCTGAAACGCTAGTCATAAATTCGGCATAACTTTGATGATGTCCAACGTACGATACGAAGTCATACATTTAGCCCGGTTTTAAGTTAATAAAAACTTAATCTATTTAGGTTTCAGCCAAGTCTAAAAGGTTAAAAGTCAAAAGAATATAATTTCGGCGAGCCGAAGCGGATATACCCTTGCTATAAACACAAATGTTAAGTAAAATGCATAAAGGCTAAACAATATGGAAGCTATGACGATTTGTCCATTTATTTTTAAGATCAATATATCGTTATAATTTTCATTTATTTAAAATGTTTAATTTTTTGGAAATAGTGAGGGAAAAATGCCACAATTTTCAGGGGTATTTCTTTATACAGTCGAATCCCGATAATTCGTACCCCGCTAAATCGAAAATCGCGATAATTCGTAAAAAATTCTGTTCCCTTGAAAAAACTCCCTTGAAAAAAGTCTCGATAAATCGAATTCCCGTCTATTCGTAAAAAAAATGATCCCCTTGCCATTTCGAATTATCGGGACTCGACTGTATCTTCATATTTTTTAGTTTTTGAAAATTGTTTTGAAGCTGTAACACAATTTAATAATTACTTATTATTCAATTAGGGAATCCGGAGACCCTGGAAGGGCGTGCTGATGGTGGGACCTCCCGGAACCGGCAAGACAATGCTCGCCAAGGCGGTGGCCACCGAATGCGGAACAACCTTCTTCAACGTGAGCTCGGCCACCCTCACATCCAAGTACCGCGGCGAGTCGGAGAAAATGGTGCGCCTGCTGTTTGAGATGGCACGCTTCTATGCGCCCAGCACAATATTCATCGACGAGATCGACTCCCTGTGCTCGCGCAGAGGCTCGGAGTCGGAGCACGAGGCCTCGCGTCGCGTGAAGTCGGAGCTGCTGGTCCAAATGGACGGAGTTGGCGGCGGAGAGGAGCAGGCCAAGGTGGTGATGGTGCTGGCCGCCACTAACTTTCCCTGGGACATCGATGAGGCGTTGCGACGCCGCTTGGAGAAGCGCATTTACATCCCACTGCCATCGGACGAGGGACGAGAGGCGCTGCTGAAGATCAATCTGCGCGAGGTCAAAGTGGACGACAGCGTCGACCTCACCTACGTGGCCAATGAGCTGAAAGGATACTCTGGAGCTGACATCACAAACGTGTGCAGGTGGGTTGATAATCTGATTATGTTTTTCTTAACCCCTCATTGACGCTGATTTTAAAATGTTTTACAGGGAAGCCAGCATGATGTCGATGCGGCGGAAGATCGCCGGCCTCACCCCCGAGCAGATCCGCCAGCTGGCCACTGAGGAAGTAGACCTGCCGGTGTCCAACAAGGACTTTAACGAGGCCATGAGTCGCTGCAACAAGAGCGTGTCCCGGGCGGACCTGGACAAGTACGAGAAGTGGATGAAGGAGTTCGGCTCGTCATGATGGCGTTGCCCACGCGAATGGCTAGCAATTGTAGGAATATATTTTTGAGTAGCCTTAACTACGCGCTTAAGTCTTTAAGCTTTTAAAGTGAGAACCGAACCGATCCAAGCAGAACGGAAAATTGAACATATTTTATATATAACATTTTGCAAATACGATACAATCTATATATTTACATATATAAATTGAACCGGAGGCCGTTGGAAATTTAAAAGACTAACTGCTCTCAAAGAGGAAACACAAATGCAAAACTGAAATTGAATCGAAGTCGAGAGATAGGCAATATGTTTACGGATATATAACAAGCACACCCACACACTCCATGAAGCACAATCCTTCCAACTAATCGTTAACCCACAATCAACACACTCTGTATGCAATAAGGAATCGCTTTAATCGCCGCCTAGCCTTGGCCCCATTCTCCCACGCTAAGCACACTCCAAATCGTTTCATTTTTTATCCAAAAAGTTTATTTTAACAAGTAATATTCACTGTCTAATATTAATGTTAATTTTCGCTTAATTTATACATAAACATATATTATAGTTTAGTGCAGGCAGAGATGTAGAGCACCTCAAATGTTAATTTTAAAGCAGCCAGAACGTTCCCTCTGATTTGCAATTAACCCACTGTAATCGGAAGATGAAACTGAAGCAATATGTACTTAAAGTGAGGATTCTGAAATTTTAAACAATAAACACAGTTTTTAACTATATGGGGATATGTTTTTTAAACTGTTGGGTGCTTATCGCAAATAATGTATTGCGCAATTATTGACATGATTGAACATTTCTTAAAAACTGAATATAATTACATATTTTCTTTAGTCGTCATATAAACTTTTGAATTCAAGGCTGTCATTGTTGTTGTGTGTAATAATTGCAAATCTTTGCGTTTTGTTGATCAAGATTATATGAATGAATCATCAAATAAATCAATTGACTTTGGGACATTCCCCATTTACATTAAAAATTATTGATGCATGCTAAAATAACTTTCTATTGCTTAGCTAGTTTTTTTCAGCACTGCTTTTTAACCCTTTGAGGGGCAGTGGGAAGTATACTTCCCACCTGTTTCTTTGCCGTTTTTAATTAATCTCTTTCGCACTGCACTCGTTTTAGTAAAAATATATTATCATTTAGACTCTCAAATACTTATAAAAAGTTATGAAAAAAAAATTTTCGTGAAATTGTTATTAATTAATTAGTTATAAAAATTCAAACTTGAAAAAACGGTCGTGTTTTTGAATAAATTCAGCTGTGTGCAAACTACAGGTCCAAAAATTATGAAAATTTTTTTCTGACGAGCATATACATTGAACAAAAACATATGTTTTTTTCAGAATTTTCGGCAGGCTAGTTTTCATGAAAAAATTTTTTGAATAAGTTGAAAATAGTGTTATTTGACGAATCTTTCCGTTTGATTTCATTATTTGTTACGCGGCGAAATTCAAATATCAATGGTTGTACATAGGTTTTCGGGGTTGCTGATAACGATTTTGATATCAGTAGATTAATATCCAAAATTTTACAATTCCGATATCAGAATCGTAATCAGCGACCCCGAAAACCTATATACAACCATTAATACTGAAATTTCGCCAAAGAGAAAAATGTGCCCCTCAAAGGGTTAATAATTTGAGGAACCTAAGCGAACGAATATATAACGATAAAAGCACGACACTGTAATAAACTTTATCTCTGCTAAGCACAATTGATAAGTCGGTCGCATTTCTTATTGAAAGCTTATTACATTGAGAACTGAGAGTGTAAACTCGCCTGCTGATCGTTGATGCGCCATGGCAGTAAATACGCTACGAAAAGGGCCGAGATCTCAGTAGGGTCTGGATGGCGGGGGCATGGGCATCATTGGGCCCATGATGGGATACGGAGCGGAGCCTCCAGCCGAGGGATAGAAGCCGCTGGACGCGATATTTCCGTAGGCTGGCAGAGACGCGGCTGGCGGAGGACCTTGGCGCTGTTTGCGCATGAGCTCCTGCATCTTCTCGGCCTTGAGCCGGCGCAGATGCATGGTCCGTCGGCTGGCGAGAAACTCCTCCAGGAAAGCCTCCACCCCGAGGTCGCTGTCGTTGAACTTCTTGAACATCTCTTCGGTCTGCTCCTCGCTCTCGGAGGCGGCGGTCTGCAGCAAGGCTAGTGCTGTTTCCGGACCCACTCCGCCCGACTTTTCGTTGATCTGAGACAGCTTCTCCTGGACAGACGAGCACCGGGTGCGTCCCTCTTCCGAGAGTTCAGCCAGACGACCGCGCAGCTCTATGATCTGTGGTTCCCGTCCTATGTTTCGCTCCGCTCGACTCCGATTGTCTTCAAAGACGCTGTTCTTTTGGTTCCGCAGGGACTGAAGAACCTCGTCCACCTTCTCATCTAGCTTGTCGTCGTTGTTTAGCAGCTCCTTCAGCTCCTCTGAGCCCATGGGTGCAATGGACGCCTGCAGCTGGTTCAGATATTCTTGATACATTTCCTCCGTTTGCTAGGGACTATGACGAATAATAAATCCAAGATGGTAAATTTTGCGACTTTAACTTCAATGACTATTACTTAGAGCTGGTAAAAGCGATGACTTTCAATTCGTATAAGTATCGATATTTTCTTGGAAGGTGACTGGTGAGATGCCGTGTTTCCACCACACCAACAATAATCGATACAAATAGACCCAATTTAAAATTTTCTGTAAACTAACGGTTTTTTCTCTGCCCCGTACTGATCGATTCTCCGTATAATTGGGTGCTATAATCACGGTTGCCACTTCAAAAATTTTTAATGAGCCAAAAAAGATTAAAAATGAGCCAATTTGAATAAAAAAGAGCCAAATTTTTATTTGTTATTTATTTTAACTTTTATCATAAAAAACAAAAACATCACAACACATTTTTCTGCAATGAAACTAAGGATTGCTTGGTAATTTAAGTCATTCTTACATATGTATGTTCAGAGCTACCATACCAGCGGAACAATTTAGTTTCGATCTGGTGCTTTTAGATTTCAGACATTAATCTCTTTTATAATTGTTTCCATCTAAACTGGATCTTCCGTTCCTCTACTTCAAAAAGATTATTCAGGGGCAACATTTCGCTCTATACAAACTAAATTGTCGAATCGTCGATCTTCCGTTCATCTCTTACTGGGTTTGTAAGGATCATTTTATCAAACTGGGATATTACATAGTCCGGTGAGGTCCTTTACAAATAAATTTGTAGAAAATATTAGGAACTAATGGGGATTGAGTTGCCGAGTGATATTTTGTTGGGAAAGAGGCTGAGGTACCCTGAGGCCGGACGACCAAGTTGCACTACGAAAATGTCATTCCGGTGCTCCGCGTGGGTTTTCGGGAAGATCTCTTATACTGTTGAATCCTGATTAGATTCCGTTTGAAAAAACTGTTAGATCCTAAAATGTATGTAGAGATTCGACTTAAACAAATTTGTAGCTTAATTCTTTTATTAACACGTTCATCCGCAGATTATAGTAGATTTTTTATAAGTTAATGGTTTGGAAGACTGGTTTGAGGGGGGGTACCACTAATTAAGGGTTTAGCCAGCGTCATAAATCGTCTGCTGAATTGATCCCTGACCAACTCGGGTGTAACTGTGGAAGCTGCGTCCAGATACTGCACCGCTCTGATTTGACCATTCTCTAGGACAGGAACTTGCCGAACCCGAAGCCCCGGAAGGAGCACCTGCGATTGGACCCCAGCCGACAACAGGAGTCCGACCAATAGTAGTAGCAAATGCAGCCTCATTTTTGGAATGTTTCAGCAGAGTGCTTGTATTTGACTTGAACCTTTATATTTTATACTCGCTCAGTTAACTGAGGAAGTTCCTCAAACCCCTTTTGTGCCGGGTTGATTGATCTGCCTCAGAGAAAGTGAACTCCAATTGCTTCACCGCAAAAGTTGAGTTACTTATAACCAGTTAGGCAGCACTTTAAACAGGATTTGATTTTACATATGCCAACCCTAACCAAAGTGCAGCGAACAGTGATGTAATTTTCGTTATATCTGAGCAGAGCAAGTATGTACTTCAATTAATAAATTTACCACTAAGACATTTGTAGCATTGACATGTTTATTTTGTTGTTGTCATGTTGACACTTTTATACAAATAAGGAATCGGATATTTATATTTCTGTATTTCTTTAAAGTAAAGTAAAGTAAAGTAAAGTAAATTTGTAGCATTGACATGTTTATTTTGTTGTTGTCATGTTGACACTTTTATACAATAAGGAATCGTATATTTATATGTTTGTATTTCTTTAAAGTAAAGTTTTAAACTTTCAGAGTATATCCCACTAAAATATACACAACGACTTAAAACATCACAAATCTTTATTACAACATTTTCTCTATAATACTGAAAGTTTACGTCTTACCAAAGTGTTTAAATGGATTTACTTGAGAACAATGTACATATATAAGAAATGTGGGTACTTCTGACAATAACTGTACTTGGCTCGTTTAAGAATTGAGCTCAAGTAGGCCAGGCATTTTATTCCAGTACATTTAAAATCAGATTAAAGTACAAATATAATTCTTATTCTCAAACTCGAACAAAGTCTGCACCATGTTCAGCGAAATACCTACAATGATGAAGTGCGCCGCTCGATCGCCTTTTCAGTGCGGTCCCAGCGGCTTCAGTTTTGACAATTGTCTGCGGTGAGTTAATTGCTACTGCCTCAAAATTTGTTAACTATAAATCTACATTGCTGGAAAATTTCCTTTTGCTAAGATAAGGATTTTTAAGGGGGGATGTGGTCTTCCCAAAATGCCCTGGTCTTCCCAAAATGCCCTAGAAGGTCAAAAATTATTTTTTAACAAATTGTGTGTATGCATATTTTCTCAAAAATAAAAAAAATGTTTTCCATTATTTTTTCATTTATTTCTATGGCAAATAAATGAAATGTTTTAAAAAGTTGAAATTATATTTTTAACTTTTATCGTAACAAGAAACTTTTTAGTTTTTCAATTGATTTTTGTATTTTTTTAGTTATTCTTATTTTTTAATAAATGAAATGTTTTAAAAAGTTCACATTATATTTTTAACTTTTATCGTAACAAGAAACTTTTCAGTTTTTCAATTGATTTTTGTATTTTCTTAGTTATTTGCTTATATTTTGGCTGTCCTCTTTGGGTTTGCAATTAGCAAATTAAGAAGTTAAAAGGGTTATTGTGGTAGTTCACAGTTTTTAGTCAAGCAGTTCACATTATTTAATTTTTGCAGAAACAAGGGTCTTATTGAGAAGGGTATTTCGGTACCCAATTGTGCAAGTACAGGCACCACTATAGTGGGAATCACATATGACGAAGGCGTGATCATTGGCGCGGATTCCAGGGCCACAAACGAAAATATAATACCCTCGAACAGTAGTCGCAAGATTTATGAGCTGCAGAACAACATTTTGTAAGTAAAATCTGTTTAATAATTTGAGTATGGTTTTAAAATATTTGATGAAGAATAAGTCCCCATAAATTTAGATTAATCAGTGTATTTAATAGTTGAGACACTTGAATAAAGCATTTCGTTTTTGTTTTCTTTTCTCTTATTTGTAGTTATACTTTACAATCTTTACCTTCGTTGTTAAGTTATTTCGGTATATCCAAATATAATTTAAAGTATATAATTTAAAGTAGTAGCTAAAAACATACATTTTTACTGTTACTTCAAAAAAAATATTTTGTTTAAATCCCCTTTTTCTTGAAATCCTATTCACTCACCATATTTATAAGATACTTGTAATAACGAATTTTAAAACAAAACTAAACGCGACTAAACAAAATAAAAAAAGAAAAAAGCATGCAAAATAATAAAACAGATCTTATATAGGTCCTTAAAAAATTAAAATTAAAATTTAAGTCCCTATAAAAAGACTTGCCGAATAAAGCAATCTACATGAATAGATCCTATTATGATGTTTCCTCTCTCAAATTAGAACTTCGTAGAGGAACTCGTAGTGGAATCCCATTCCTCCTAACCTTCATCTTCAATAGAGATACATTGATCCTAAACTCTTGAGTTTTACTTTTCCTAACCTAACCTATTTCCTTAACCCCTCACTCTTTGCTTAACCCTAAAGTGCCGGTGGAGCCGGCGTTGCACGGGACACGAGTGCCCTGATGGAAATGACGCATGCGCAGCTGGAGCTGCACCGCATGAACACCGGATTCCGGCAAGTGCCGGTGTGCTGCGCCAACCACATGGTGCGGCAGGTGCTCTTTCGCTTCAACGGCAACATGGAGGCCAATGTGATCCTCGGCGGAGTGGACTCCACCGGATGTTACCTGTACTGCACGAGGAGCGACGGCACCACCTTCCCCGTGCCGTTCGCCTCGCTGGGCTCCGGCAACCTGGCGGCCATGTCCGTGCTGGAGTCGCGGTGGACCGAGGAGCTGGACGAGGAGTCCGCCGTCGCTCTGGTCTGCGATGCGGTCTCCGTTGGCGTGGATAACGACCTGAAGTCCGGCGGGAACGTGAGCCTGTGCATCATTCGGGTCGACTTCTCGGTGCACTGGGACGTGCAGAGCCCAATCAGGAGCCCTCCAACTCGGACTTTCCCGCTGGTCGTCAAGCCCGGCTGCACCAGTATCCTGTCCTGCGTCGAGCACAGGGTGGTGTTGTGGGGAAAGGCTCCTGGTCCCGAACCAGATCGTCAACCGGATCCAAGAAGTAACCGTGGGGAGGCAGACGAAAGAGGACGACGGAGACGAGAGCCCGAAACTTTTGCACCGCCAAGAGCCAAAAGAAGAAAGTTTGACTAAAAACGGAAATCGGTCTAAGAATTCCTTTGTGTTTTGTTGCTAAAAGCCGAGCAGGAAATCATGTTTCCCAAAATTAGTTAATTTATTTCAGTTTATTGCTTATTGCATTGCTTGTAAATTAAAAGTTATCATTAAATTTTCAGAGCAAAAGGGTATTATAATTTTAGTCAGAAGTTTGCAACGCAGTGAAGGAGACACCTCAGACCCCAGAAAGTATACAGGGTGCGGCTCTTAAATCCGGACAAAATTGAATTTGAATTTCCCGCCACATAGTCATTCCGCCAGAGATCGCTACTGGCGTTCTTGTAAGCCATGGGCATCTAGTAAATAGTCATAACCTAAAAAAGGCCACAAAATTAGTTTGGTTGCAAACCAAAAATAGTTCTGTAACTTCAAATAACATTTGAAGTAAAGGGTAAAACTTTTTAATACACAAATTTTACCCTTTTCTGACCAGAGACATGATCGCCACCATTTAATTTCTCAATTTTTGTAATAGGAAATACATACACAAAATTAAAATGCAGTGGGTACCTACTAAAAGGTACTTTAGGAGTCCCCCAAATTAATTTCCGTATAGTCCGGCATAATTAAGGGGCACAACTAGTGTGACATTTCAAAAAAATCTTTTTTTTTTTCTTTCATATTTTGGTAGATACAACCTTTAAAAATAACATATTAAAATTTCAAATCGATATCTTAAATAGTTTTTGAGTTATAGCAATTTTAAGTGCAGCCGCTCGTATAGCAGTGAATACGATCATTTTATCTTTAAACGCGTTTTTCTCGAAACTGCATTTTCCGAATTTGCTGCAGTGATAACTCAAAAACTAATGATCCGATCACTATCAAATTTTTTTTACGTGTTCTATATATAGTCCTCCCTACAATGACCTATCGGTTTTTTGATCTGATCAAAAATCGAATTTTGGCAGGCCAAAAACGACCAAAATTTTGGGTAAAATTTGATTTTTTTTTTTCAAAACGCCGCCATTTTGTCAATTTTTGATATTTTTTTTTTATTGTAGGTCATTGTATGGACAATATCATCTAGTTTAACGAGAATTTTTCATATTTTGATTTCATCCACCGAGAAGGCCGGAATCACTGCAGCAGTTGGGGCACTTTTTTTTTTTAGTGCCGTTGGAGATCGGCTCTAGCTTAAAAAATATTTAATTTTTTTCTTTAAAAATTTTACTGTATATTCTTCAAACATCTATAAATATATTCTGAAAATTTGAAAAGAATTGATTAAGTAGTTTTTTTTATAAAAATTCCCAAAAATCACCATTTTTTTAGGCCGTCACACTAGTTGTGCCCCTTAACCGGTCCAAACACGGGCACACTAGCATTTAAGCTTCGACTTTGGCCGGTTGATTTTCCAATATATATATATTGAATAAATACGCCGACTAACAGCTCACCACACGGAATCCACAGCGGGCGGCTCAGGTGAGATTATCTCTTCCATATAAAGATAGTACTGACATATATACATGTATCTATATATGTACATATGCTGATTGTTTTAAAACCCTTCTGAAATCACGCAAAAATACTTATCGGCGCAGGCGGCAATCTGATTACGAATCTTTGGAAACGATCTCCGGCGAAATGTCTGCGGAGCGTCTGGATGTGATTATCTTTGGGGCCAGTGGCTTCACAGGCAAGTACACGGTCTTCGAGGCGGTGACCGTGCTGAGCGGCCTGCGCTGGGGAATCGCCGGCAGGAACCGCGAAAAGCTGGAGGCGGTGCTGAAGCAGATGGGCGCGAAGGCCAAGAAGGACCTCTCGCAGGTGCCCATCATCATAGCGGACGTCAACGACGAGGCCTCGCTGCTGCAGATGGCCAGGAGGTGCAGGATCGTGGTGAACACGGCGGGACCCTACCGCTTCCACGGCGAGGGAGTGGTGAAGGCCTGCATCGAGTCGGGCACCCACCACGTGGACGTCAGCGGGGAGCCGCAGTACATGGAGACCATGCAGCTGAAGTACGACCAGCGGGCCAGGGAGAAGGGCGTGTACGTGGTCAGCGCCTGCGGCTTCGACTCCATCCCCGCCGACATGGGCGTCATCTTCGTGGAGAAGAACTTCGACGGGGTCGTGAACTCCGTGGAGACCTTCCTGGAGAGCGGCCTCAAGGAGGGCGGCGGGGGCGGTGGCAGCGCTGGGCTGAACTACGGCACGTGGGAGAGCGCCGTCTACGGGCTGGCCCACTCGGACGAGCTGCGCGGCATCCGGCAGAAGCTCTTCCCCCAGAGGCTGCCCAAGTTCTACCCCGTGCTCAGGCCACGACCCCTGGTCTTCCGCGCCGCCGAGGTGGACAAGGTGTGCCTGCCCTTCCCCGGCTCCGACCGCTCGGTGGTGATGCGCTCGCAGCGCTTCCTCTACGAACAGGACAAGAAGAGGCCCGTGCAGATGCAGGCCTACGTGGGATTCCCCTCGTGGCTGGCGGCCGGCGCCGTGATCCTTTTCGCCAGCATCTTCGGCCTGCTCTCGAAGTTCCAGCTGGGCCGCACGCTGCTCCTGAAGTATCCCGGCCTGTTCTCCGGGGGACTGGCCTCGCGTTCCGGCCCGAGTGAGGAGTCCATGGAGCGCACCTACTTCAGGATGACCTTCAAGGCCACTGGCTGGCCCAAGGGCGATCGCCTGGCCGAGGGCTCCGACCAGTACACGGAGCCCCCGACCAAGTCGCTGATGGTGCGCGTCTCGGGCATGAACCCCGGATACGGAGCCACCTGCGTGGCCCTGCTCTCCACCGCTCTGACCATTCTGCGCGAGTCCGAGAAGATGCCCAACAACGGCGGAGTTCTGGCTCCAGCCGCCGCCTTCTCGAAGACCAGCCTCATCAGCGAGCTGGAGAAGCACGATCACGGCATGAAGTTTGAGATTCTGGCCAACAAGTGAAGTGCCTGCTGAACCCCAACACAAAGGCTCTCTTTCAACCATCAGGCTTGGCGTTTATTACACAGTTTGGACTGTAATTATATAAGCACTTATTAAATTAACTTACACTTCAGATAAATCCATTGTCCATGTTTACCTCTCAGTTTGTTGACACCAAAGATCAATTACTATTTGCCTTGCTTTGTGGGTATTAAACAGGTTATGGAAATTCCGATCGCAAAACTTTTCAATTTTCCAACACAACCATAAGTAACTTTCTGACGCAATAATGCAAACAAATACAAAGTTAAACTGCATCACCAATGGCGAGTAGATTTTCTGTTTCAAGCGAACAATTCACACTCAGTCGTAAAGAAATAGGTACATATAATTGCATCGGACCTGGCAATTAATTAAATAATTTTCTGGTTCATCAGACTATTAGGTTTTGAGAAAAAGAAAAATGGGATGATCAAAATGTTGGCTAAAATAAATTAACCAAACTGATACAATGGTTAGTTCATCAGACGAACAAGGTTACTAAAAGGCATATTTAGTAATATTTGTATTTAATAGTATACGATAACTTAGCTATTTAATGACAGTAGTTTCCGTCCAGGAAGTGTAGTGCATTTACGATTACCTAAATTTCGATCGACCGATTCCATACTGCAGCAGTAAAATGCCTTGCAATCACTTGATTAGCAGGTTAAAGGTCTGGTTGGGGGCATATATCTGGAGGGGATTTGCAGCGTATATGGTTACCGGCAGGTTCCACACCATCGTCTCCACAGGCATCTGAGCCGGGGCTTTCAGCTCGCCGAACTCTGGATTCGGAATGCCAAAATCCATCAAAGTGGTGGTCACGAACTCGAAGTGCAGGCGCCACCGGACGTCGACGAGGTCCGTGCGGAATGTGGGCGTAACATGCAGCGGAATGGGCACTACTACTTGGGTCTGGAGCGTGGCATAGCACACCTGATGGGAGGTGGAAATGGTGGACAGTTTGCCAGTCGGTTCGGGAGCCTCCTTGTCCCTCGAGCTTCCCGAGGTGGCCGACTTGTGGAGGTTGTCGGCAACCACTCCGCTAGCTATGCTGGCCATGTCGAATGAGTTAATCGAGGAGACGTCGTCTCCCGTGGGGGTCTGCGACTGGAGCTGGTGGTTCTGAACGGGCTGCGGCCGGATGGAGAGCTCCTGCTGCTGCAGCTTCACCGAGAACTGGACGCAACGCACCTGACACTGGCCAAAGTCCAGGCTTCCCACAATGTCTTCGCCAAGCTTATAAGCCGGCTTGAACAGGCAAAAGCGACCGACGAATCCACGCTTATTTGAAATGCGATAGAACTTGGGCGCCCGGCGAGCGGTGACATTCTGCGAAACAAATTGTTTGAATGTATAGACAAAAGCATTTACATTTAGTCTCACTAACCTTTAAGTGGTGCCACGAAATCTCCAGTTCGCTGATCTCGCGCTTCTCCAGGAAGGGATTGGTGGGTGCCAGCTCCTCGTTGGTTTCTACAGTCACGGGCAGCTCGTCCGGCCGGGAAATAATGGGAATGGGCAGTACGCGGATGGGAACGGCCAGGGTTTGCACCTTCGACTTGACCCGCTGCGTTGCAATGGTGATCTTGTAAAAGTACCGGATGTTGTGACCTCTGTAGGTTGGCGGACCATCGCGGGGCACAAACTCGTTGAAAAAATCTGAAAATGAATTACTTTTAACTTAACTTTGATCTTACAGAGGTGAACAAATAGCTTTGGTAAGCTATCCAATTTTGTTATTGATCTAATCGAACTGTTCGCATTAGGAAATTTCTATAGCGATGTACTCACACATCTTAGTCTCCCCTGGCAGTAGGCGCAGGTCGCAGAAAAGGATCTTAGGCTTGGTGGCCACAATCACCTCTCCTGGTGCCTGCGTCACCGCATCCAGGGCCGTTCTGCCAATCATCTCCGCTAGTTCCGCGGTTTTATCCCCAGTGGAAGTGGAGTAGCTGGTCTTCCGGTAGCAATGCAACTGCGCCGAAGCCCAGGCAAGGTTTTCCTGACTAAACAATTAGTATTTGTGGTCAATCATCCGAGCTACAGACAACTCTCCAACTCACCTTGCTTCGTTGGCATTTCTGCTTTGGGACCTGGCTGGCTCGTCCTGGAAAACTTTGTGGGTGAACTCGATCAGGCACTCGACCCTCTCGCCAGTGGCATAAATTGCCGAGTCTGCCCGCACCAGTTTAGCTTTGATTTCAATCATTTATTTACGTTTTTCAACAGTACATCGGCATTGGGCTGGGCAACCACTAGCGATAGTATCGATACATTAAGCTTCTACTTCCGAAATATTTCGCTTTTCGGAAAATCAGGTTGGTTATAGCGCCTACACACTATCCCGATAGAAAATCATTACATATCGATATTTTGCCACACTCTAAACCGCTACGTTTTAAATCTGGTAAATAATACACCTTATTGACCAAAAAGCTTTTATGATGAAGTGTTAATAGAGATACTCCTTTTAAATAGAGATACCCCGATTAAATAATTATTATTCAATATATTGTAAGTTGTTTTTATTACTTTCGCTGCACTTCATATTTTGCCCCCATGTTATTGGCCTTGTTAATGATTAACACGGTGCATTTATAAATTGAACGCGTTGCACGCGTACCCTTACACAAGGAATATTGCTCCGCACAGAAACTTTCAGTTCATCCGCAATCCGTTTGGGGCACTTTAATAATCCTTTGTATTTTTTGCATTTTTGGGGCATCAAACTGCATAACCTCATAATTACGAGTAACCAATTAAACCTAAACTCAAAATTGACAAATATGTTGTAAAAAAAAAATTTGAAAAACATTCAAATTTCGATTCCTTTTCGAATAGGAAAGTCAAAAGTTCTCTTATTCGTCCGCGAGGCGGCGCTTTCGCCTAACGTTCAGCGTTGGCTTACAGGAATTCTGAACAGAATTTATATTCGATAAGTCCTCCAATATAGCGAGTACACTTTCCTAACCTCGCGAGTGCACACTCTTAACATAGTGAATACACGCTCCTTCCTGGAGAAACAACAAACGGGTATTTTTTAGGGAATACGTGGACGGTCAGTTCTTTGGATCTTTTTCTTCTTACTGAATTGATTCTGAAAAGTTGGTCACACCGGAAAAAGATGTCGAGAGCGCGCGTCGCGTTTGTTGAGCTCCCGATCGCCGAGTTTCCGTGAAAACTGCAACAAGTGCGCCGTGTTTTTTGGCGATCGCCTCAAAGTCGCAGTAAACAGTGCGCTTTTTGTTTTCGTTTTGCCGCTCTTGTGACTTCTCGACTATATTCGCAGTCCCTTGCGCACTTGGTTCTCTTTCGACGCCGACGTCGACTGCGCAGCCGCCGCGACGCGAAATGTGCAACAACAAGTTAAACAGCAACTACCAACACAACTACAAAGTTAACCAATATTTAAAAGCTGGCTCAATTAATTAGCAGCCCGAAAAGTGCAGTGCTAAATACAAAAAAAGAGGAAACGCTGTATGTTTTTGTTTTTCCCCTGGATTACAAAGCTGGATAAATCGGATTAGACCGGGCAACAAAGAAAGAGGTATGGCAAATAAAGCCCCCTTCATATTTATGAATTTCGCCACCCCCTCTGAATTACAAAAGCAACAATTGCCATGTCCGGCTTAGCAACAACAAAAATAACAACGGCATTCCAACGGCGTCTGCTTTGTTTTCCCCCACACTCACACACGTACCTCGAACACCACCCGCTCCTCTTTAAGCTCTCCTTCTATCCCTCTTGCTCCCACGGGAAAGAGACGCTTCCAGCGGGATGTGGTTTTGCGCTTCTTCTCCATTCTCCACTGCTTTGCAAGAAAAAGAAAAGGGTGCGTCGACATTTCTATTGTTGTTGTTTTTCGTGACGGTATTTTTTATTTTGTTGCTCACCTTCATACGTTATCAGAGTGTTCATTTTGATCGTTTGCTTCGCTAGCGAGAAGTCTCCACTGGAGTTTCGTGCTCCCTCACGCCAAACAGTTATAGTGATACCTGTTTCCAGGAGAGAGAGAAAACCTGCGGATAAAACTGAGCAGCAGATAAACCTCCAGCAAAGAGAGCCGCTGGAAGATCGGAATTTTTAGTGCTCTGCTCTGACTAACAGGTTTTTAGTAGTAGTAGCTTACATGCTTACTTTTCTACTACGATTTTTTTTTTGTGACGGCTTACAATTCTGTTTTTTCACTCCCTCTCTCATTTTTTGCATGGCAAACTTTCGGTCATTGTACTGTTGTTGTCTTGCCCACCGCCAGAGAACAACAACAATTGGAGAAACACTGATAGCGAGTACAGTGGGGCAGGCCAAATTAGAACCCAGATTGGTTGTTGAATTCTTATTTGTTTTGAATTTGACAATTTTTTTTGTTTTGGTAAGGTAAACAGTTATTACAGATCAGCTCACCATCTCAGACTTGACCCTATAATTTCAAAATGGCATTTTTCAATAATATTCTTATACAGTTAATTGCGAGCTCATTACTTAAATTCTACATGCTGACTATCACAACAAGCCATGAACATAAAGAGTATACTAAATAGAAAATAAATACAAACTTTTTCAAATACGTTTTGTATTTGTAACTATCGGGTGTTCACTGCAGCTACCCAAGCCCGCTTCTCTGTTTCTCATTCTTGCCCAGCTCCATTTTCGCCTTTTTCGCACACCTCACTGCATGCGACTGCAATTTGTGCAGCTGAACTTTGTACTTCTCTTATTTTCGCATGACTCATGAGTTTGCTTTATTTTGGTTTATTTTTCCCCTTTTCGGGATTTGAATGAGTAAGATTTGGCGGGGAAAAGGTAAAGGTTGAGTGTAAACAGTGTTACCTGCATTGTTATCAATGGGCACGTTCCACATTCCAATTACCTTATCGCTCGATATGTTGCCCCAAAAAAATTGAGAAGAGATAAACCAAAATTTGATTGCCACACAAACAATGACACAATGCAATTGCATTGACAGTAGATGATAAGAAAGGCAAAGAAAAACAAAAAAATACCAACTCTAAGTTAATGCACTAAACCAATACGAAAAGCGAAATAAATAAGGTAAATAAATAAAGAAATTGAAAACAAGTGCGGGGTGAAATCAAATGTAGGACGGCGATCCACAAACGCCCATGCAGAGTGAAAAAGAAAGAGAAACTGGCCCACAACGCAAGTACATAAACGTGTGTGTGTGGCTATACAGGTGCAAGATAATCTAATTACGCCATGGCATATGAATTTCGGTCCACACTGCGCACTAACACACACAAAATATTAGGCTGCCATTACAAGAGGTTCCGAAATTGATGTAGATCAGGAAGTCAAATCAGTGGAATGCCCTGCATTCTTAAAAGGTACTCCACTCTAGGCGACAATTTGTCTTCTATACTCATAAAGACGGCGGGAAAAGCACAACCCAGGTTTTTTTTTTATTAAAATATAATTCTGCAATGCTTCCGTAGATCATCCCAGCGGGAAAAACGATGTGGAAGATATGCTATTTTCCAGAGATTTCTTCATACAAACGGAAGGGCAAAAACCTCCTTCACCCCTTACATTTTTGCCGTCTCTCCTTTCAAAATACACGGGGGTGACACACAAAAGGAAGGGGTAAAGGAGGTTTCTATGTAAAAATCCACAGGTTTCAGAAACCCACCCTTATTTAGCGGACCGAAATTTTCAACTCCTACCCCTACGCCTGCTAAAAGAAGCAGGATTTCCAGTAGTCTTAAAACCGAAAACCTACTTCTAAAAACCTACTTCTCACTTTCCCGCTGGGATGTTTGTGGTTTTAAATGAAAATTCTATTGTTTATTTACGAAATACGCTTTCTCCAAAAATGTCCAGTTTTAGTAAATCAGATAATTTTTAACAAAGATACAACTTGTATTTAATAGTAAAAAAATTGTAAAGTTTTTAAAATGGATATTTTTATTATGACAAAATAATATTTTTATACGTATACGACAAACTTAATTGAAAATATTAGGTATTCGTAAGGCCCAATTTATTGTTGGGAAATAAAAACCTATCAGGGGTACGTAATAGTTAAGTCAGAACCGAAGATAAGCTTTTCGGCGATAAGTTAACCAGTTAGCTGTCAATATACAGCTTTTAAACATCGTTTACTAATTATCGCGTTTTTAGCCCAATTTTCTAAGCATATTATTTAAGAAACATTTAAAAAGTTCTTGGACGGTTCACAGTTTTTAGTTCGTAACCAGCGCTATAAAATATAAGTGTAGGGTATAAAAACATCATTTTGAATTACATTTTAGTTGAATTAATTTACATCTTAGAAAAAGAATGTTCGTAAGCTTTTGGGTAATGGCAATAACACAAATAAGCTTTAAAAGAAAAACCCAACAAATATTTCCATAAGGAATGTTTTAAATGTTTTACAAAAAGAAATTGCCAAGTGTTTGGCAAACCAATGCCCTTATGAGACAAGTTTTTTGCTTGGCTTATTTATCTGCATTCTTAGTTTTCTGGCACAGCTGCAATTTAATGCCTGAATAGCTTCACAATCCCCGAACCTCATGCTCCCCAAATCTTCTGGTTGCGCCTATTTGGCAATTCCTCATTCGCCGCTTGGCGCGTAATTGGACTCTTTTGCGTTTCTTGCTTCTCAAATGCAAAATGTTTATTTTTGGCTTTGGCTTTGTGTTTGCATGATCGCCGCCCTCTTCTCCGCCTTTTGTTTACTTTTGCTTTCAGCGCTCCAACGATACTCTTGTGGTTCTGCCCGGCGAATTCGTTTTGAGCAAAATTGTAGTTTATTGCGCTGCTTTTGGGGGAGTTTTAGCTGGAAATCCGAGCTTTTGCCCGTGCAGCTGTTTTCGAGTTATTTTTTTTTCGCTCTATAGATGGATAGAATGTATAAACAAAGATACAGGGGATTGGCTAATTATAATTTATGGAAACAAATATCGCATTGTGAATTAGCCAGAAAAACACAATGGCCTGCGCTGTGAGCAGGATAGGATATTCCTTTGTTTATTGGGAGGTACTGAAGTTTCTGAAATGATTATTGTAATTATTATTGGTTATCGTTATAAAAAAGGGAATTTTTCGGTTAAGAATATAATTAGGTAATACTAAATTTTTGTATCATTTGAATCTTTGGTAAGTCAAACACCCGAGTGAAAATTAGAATAGAGCCGAGAGGTTTTTCCGCTGATCGGGTTGTGTGCGGGTCAGTGCCACGCCCCTGAGTTGGGACGCGGGCCAATTTCCGCCCCTTTGAAGCTTAAACGTGCGCAAACCCGTTTCGCAATTCAAATGCTGCGCCAGTCACTCACTATCGCTATAGTGGGCTATAGCTCACTCGCTCGATCGGGCAAGAAACTCGTTTTCTTCTGCCGTCTGACCGTGATTTTATTTTTGTTATGTGTGCTTTTTGCTGCCGTTTCTGTAGTGTAGTATGCTCTTTTTTCAGTTTGGTTTTTGTGCGTTTTTTGCGAGTGAGTTATTGTCGTAAACCGATCAAACTTGACTGCTAATGTGTGTGTGCCTACAACAATATTGTTCCACTTTGTTTGCATCCTCTATGCGCGATTTCATGTGAGAAAGTTTTTGATTCAGTTGGGAGTTTGGAATAATTCGCTGACCAACGCCCTGGACAATTGCATATATAAATTTTTTCATCTGAAGCTGCGGGTCTTGTTCGCCTTCCCGCACATTTTAGACGAGATTAAAATTACACAAGACAATCAACTCCAGTTAACCAGCAATATACGAAATAGTGTAGAAACTTTAGTGGATTTCGCGATATAAAATTTCCTTTGTTTTCATTTAGATCACTTAATAAAAGTTAAGATTATAAATTTTGAATTTTGTTGGAATATTAGTTTTTCCTGTATTAGTTAAAAAGTCAATAAATTCAAAACTATTAAAGTTTCCAAAAATCGAATAGTGCAAATCATGTTACACTCCCTGTCTAATGGAAATGTCTACGCATCCCACCGTTTTCTGGACCTGACAGAGAACCCTACTGCACAGTCAAACCACGAGACCAACAATTTAAGCATTCCGATCGCATAATAGACCGACAAGGGAACATGGGTGGAAAACAAAGAGAAACATTTTGCCTACATGCCAGAGCTCGTTGACTTTTCCTCTTCGGCCCAAGGAGTTTCATTCTTTCATTTCTTCTCGCCACTGATTGACAAGCGACCCTTGCGATTGATCGAAAGAAGTGCGACAAACAGAAGTAGGTACATAGAGGTGCAACAAAGAGCAGTCGTCAGAGAGATGACTGTACTTTTCCTACCTTTCCCCTGTGCCTTGAATGAACCCTCGCCCAGGAATTTGCCCTAAAATTGTCAATTGGGATAACTCATAAGGGAAAACTGTTTTTCCAACCACGTTCTGCGCTAGTGCACAACTCTCTCCCCTGGTGCACACCATAATACACAGTGAAAATTAAAGTATATTTAAATATAAATTATTATTATATTATTACTATTATCCAAAAATTCCTGATGTGAATTATAATGCTGATATTTAAAAAATAATAAAAATAAATATATTTATGATAAAAAATAACTACCGAA